GAAAAGGAAACAGAATAATAACGCCCGTTTCGCCGTCCTAACCTTTGTAGCGCTGAGGTATCTATCCATAAGACACGCGTTTGGGAACTCGTAAAAAGTGTAGACGGAGACATGGAGTAATGTGAAGAAGGGAAGGTAAAGAGATGAGAAAGAAACCCCAAAGCACGCAACTGGGTGCGTTAAGAAATCAAAATCCCCGTGAACCTGGAGGGATCTTGGCGGGGGAGTGGCCGGGCGCCTTGTTTCTAAAAGAACCTCCGGCCCTCCTCCTGCGGTTGACACGATCCTCGTCGGGTAGGCCACCTGAAAAGCTCTCGTGGCCAATGGTAATGATCCGGATGGTGTTTCCAAACGCCGCAGCGATGCTGCCTCGGCCAACCTTGACGATAGGCCCGGGTTCCGAGATCATGAGGTGATCTTGAGGCTGCGCCTCATACTCGTCACCAAAGCCGTCAGAAACCAACGGCCGAGTGGCATAGGCTCCTTTCTTCTCAAGCTGCGTCATAGTCCACACCTCGTATAGGTCGTCGCTGCGGTCGCTCGGGTCACTTGGACGAAGTGGCGGCGTTGCACGTCGCCGACGCAGGGAGCCCGGCGCTGGGGGCTGGGTCGGCTGTGGTAGAGGCTGCTTCGGTGGTTTCTGCCGGATCCCAACGACACACCCGCTCGGCAGGGATGCCCACAGCCCCGGATTTTCAACTGTCCGTCTGATTTCACTGGCGTCTTGCCACGAACATCCGCGAGTTAAGCTGAGCTCGTCGTCTCGGAAGCTTATCGTCTCACCCTCGACCGAGGGTAGATACGTTTGGATCACACACTCGCCCCCATCCGCTTTGATGTAGACCAATGTAAACGACCTTAGGCCCTTGGCGCCAGTTTGAGTCTTGCGTGGGTGTGAGTGAAAGAAGCTCAGGGTCCTGGGCCGGATAACCTCCGTTCTGAAGGTGTAGATGATGCTGGACGAGTGGAAGTCAACCAAATCCACCGATGAGGTCCGCGCAACCAGATATGACGAATAATCCGGCACCGCAAGCACCGCTTGGATATCGCTCTCGTCTGATGGCAAACGGACTTCCTCGGTCAACCACACGTCTCCGACCGTCGTGCCTTTATGGATGCACCCGCGCCGGGAGAGGGTCAAGAAGGAGGTGGCTTGGTTCGAATCGGCTGAATTTTGGGTTAGCATGCCGAACCAAAGATATTGCTATCGCGAAAGGCGACTAGCGCGGGCGGCGCGGATGGGACAAAAAAATCTCACCTCTATCTGCAAGAGGCACCGCACAGCTCAGTGGGCTCTTGCAAACGACGTATTCCTGAGACTGGCCAAGGTCGGGCCAGGTCTCCACCATTGTCCCGTTCCTGCGAATTACCACGATAGACATGCGGGCCTCCCTGCTCTTTCTGGTGCTGAAAAACAAAGCATCGGGCTTCTGGCCACGAAGATCAACTTCAACTACCGGCCCCCATTTGCGCGCTTTCAGATCCCAGATCCAGATCTTGGATGACGACAACAGAACCAGCCATTCGGAGCTGTCGTCTATGGCCATTGCGAGGACCGGGAAAGGATCCCTCCCGGACTTGTCCGGGCTTGTGACAACGTAGCTCGTTCCCAAAAAGCGTACGTTCCAGACCCAGATCATGCGATCCAGCCCTGCCGAAACGACACGCCCATCTGGCGTTGCCGCCATCAGAGCCACATCCAAGGCATGCCCAGAGTTGACCGTTTTGATAGATATCAACTGCTCGTCCTCGCCGCCGTATTCTCCGGACCGTCCACCAGCGATCTCGTCCCATAGGAGGTAGTTCATGAGGAGCCGCACCAGTGAGACGACGACGATGATGGCTATGATGAGAGGCACGGTCTGGTGATGCGCAAAATCATAGACGGCAGGTGAGAGAGAGCGCTCTCTTGCGGGCGGTGTGCGGTTTGAGCCTTTCATGACGAAGACCAGGGGGTCATAGACGCGAGCAACATAGCTGTGCGCCCAGGGCTTCACCACGTGGATGACCTCTCGCGCAGTCTCGTGGTCTTGGAGTCGAAGCCACGACGTCGGGCCCCTCGCCTGATGGATATCGATCAGGAGGGGAGCTGTTTCTGACTTGGCCCTGTCTCTAAACATCTTGCCGAGTGTGTGCAAGAGGGTCTCGGTTTGGGAGAAGTGCCATTGAGCAACCAGGATGAAGCCCAGGGTGACGATCAGGCCAGCAATACGCGTCGAGAGGGCGATCTTCCCTTGAAGCAGCGCCTCTGTCCATGATTTCCGGTACGGCGCTTGAGAAGACGATCGGTTGTGCCTCAAGGAGGACTTGGCTAGAGCCTCGCTCAGCTCGGTCCGCCGCACTTCGACACTCAACACAGAAAGGAAGAATGTCGACAGGTAGAAAAAGTCAAAGAGGGTGGCGATGGCGGCGAATGTGCAAAAGGCGGACACGCCCGGGAGAACCACGCGGGACAAACCCAGGATGATCAGAAGGTACTGCAGGACGCTGGTGAAGGACACAAGAAATGTTTCCCCAAAAGCCTGTCCTATCCTGCTGCTTGTGCTGTCCTCCGAGGGCGTCACGATGACGGCGTTGATGAGTCTAAACATGTTCTCCAGGCTCATAGACCAAACGACCAGCGGGAAGCAGGCCTGCGGGATCTTGGAAAGGTCGACCTTGAAGACGGCGCAGACGGTAAAGCTGGATATGACTGACGCTACGATCTGGACAACGAGCGTGACGATCAGGCCGGCTTTAGACTTGACCGCTCGCAGCTTTGAAAGGCTGTGAAGGAAGTACATGAAGGTGAGGAAGTATGCCAGGCTGAGCATGGTGAGGTCCCAGAACGAGATAGGCCGGAACTGGAACTCGTAGAGTTGGCTAGGCATGCTTCGGCCGTCGCGAGGGTATGCGGTCCACCTGTCTGCCATGCGTGCAGCCAGAGCAGCCGTCTTGCGCTCCCACTGCCGCCCAACAGGAGAGTCTCGGAGGTGGATAAGGGTGATTACCAGAGCGTCCGCAGCAACAAGTTTGCGGTCTTCGAACCGCTTGCCGCTGAACACGATGGAGTGGCGTAAAGTAACATTGACCGAGGTCGACTGCGTTTTGCGGGCATTGACCGTCCCGATGATGTCCTTGTCGTTGAAGATCTTTTGCGCGTCTCCGGACCAGTACTGAAGTGGAGAATGATAGAACCACGACATGTTGGTCCTTCCATTGATGACGTGGAAAGTGTCTCGTTCATGCTGGGTCAGGTCGCCGTTGGGAAGGCCGGTTATGGCGGCCAGAGGGACAGGACGCCGGGGGTTGAAGTCCTTGGTTGACCCCAGCAGTTCGTTCTGTATCTGCAATGCCCCAAGAAGTACATCCCGGTCAAGCGCCCTCATGTAGCTGCCATGGACCCAGACAGTCCGCATTATAACGTCGGGCTCCAGGTCGGCACGGGTGCTCAGCGGTTGCGCGTTGGTCCAGACATGGTGGGGAAGGTTGGAGGCGCTATTGGTGAAGTCGGTGGTATAGAGGAACGGGAACGGATACAGGAGGATGCCTGCAACGGCAACCGCCAGCAGGAGGACCGTGTCCACATGTCGCGCGACGTAGCGGCCGTACCGAGCCGGCCAGTTGCGGAAGGGGTGGTCCGGCGCAAGATTGGGAGCTTCGGTGGTCCTGTTATAGGGAAGATGGTCAACAAGACGGGGCCTCTTGTGGGCACCACATGTCGGTTCGGGGAGAGAGGCCGAGAAACATACCCCCGTAATGGATAAAGGAGATACCAGAGCATCACAGCGAGCGCAGCCGCATGCTATGCTGATGGCGCGGAGAGGTTCGATCGCAGTCGGACTATTGGTGGGGCATCTTGCAAACAGTACCTGGGTATTTATCTGCGAAGAAGTACCACTTGCTCTATTACTGGTGACTGGGCGTCCGGGAGTGAGGCAAAGGAAGAGAGTTCGCCAACGGGCTACAACGGCGGAGGTGGAGACACGGGCGTATGTATATTCCGGGGGCCTGGAGGCGGAAACGAGTCGTGGTTGGAGATTTAGGTTGGCTCCCGGGGTAGCGAAGGTCTCCCTTGCTCCTGGAATGCACGCTCTGTCGCCTTGTCCTGTTCGGGAAGGCTACTCGGCCGCCACGACAGCTAGAGAGAGTTCTAGAGTTGCGCAGATCGTCGGCGGGCTCAGCCTAGCAGCCACTAAAGACCTAAAGACGCTAACAACCACGAAAGGAGCACTTCACTGGTTCCCAAAAGAGTCCGGGCGAAAGTAGGGGGCGCCTAGCCTCGTTCCCGGCGCGCATCTGGGCAACCGGCAAACCTTCCCGGCGGAGATGCGCCCTGCAGGGCTGCAGGGCTTCTGTGATCACGATCCTCGGTTGTAGCTCTAGGTGGCAGCTCTGGGGCCGGGCTGTCGTCGAAGAGCGCGGCGCGCGGGGCAAGATTTGGTAGTTGGGCAATTGAACAGCTTTCGTTTATCGGAATTGGGGCTGGCAACACAGCCACGGTCAGCTAACAGTGGAAGTCGATATAGCTCGATCAAGTGGTTTGTGGCGGTGGGCTGGGGGTCGATGGTGGTTGAGGTAAGGTGCGCAATCGAGCGATGGTCGTCGGGGTTTTCCAGGTCGTCGTCACACGGCGCACAGGAGAGAATATGGGAAATCTTGGATTGCCCTTCTGAGGGATGGGAAAATCAAGTAGTGGGTGGGTCGTATCCCCAGGGGCAATGGGGGCTAAGCTGAGACAAGGGAAGAAGCTAACGTCATTGGCGACTGAAAGGGGTAGTCGCAGACGACAGCACAGACGCCGAGAGCCGTGTTGGTTTGCTCCACACACGCAAAACGGGCTGGAGCTGAGAAACTCGCGAGCAAGCAGGGCAGAAAGTCGGGTCCTGGTAAACGCATATATATCCGATCAATCGGTCGTACGGCACCGCACAGAGTGCATCGCCATGATGGCGACAACCCGGCGCGTGGCGTGGCTCTCTCGCTAGGAGCCCCGGCATGTACCGACCAACCTGGTCGACCGAATGATTCTCATGCCTGCCAGAGTCAAGCGCGCCCCTCTGAAACATGAGCCGACGGTCGTAAGAGGCAGTTGCCAGCTGCTGCGGGCGGAGATGGTGGATGCCAGTGGATGCGACTAAAAGTCCAAAATTGGCCGTCCAAGAAACCCCAAGCAGAGTGGGGTGCCTGGATGGCCTGGGCACCTGGGGCGGGGAACACAAGAGGTGTGGGGGTGCGCCCTGGGGATCCCTTAATCACAGGCCTGTCCGGTCCAGGATACCAGTCCGTCGCAGTCGGTGGCGGAGGATGGCGAAGCCCTTGAGCAGCCCAACGAGTAATGAGTAACATTGAAGACGCTAGGTTCCGCGTTCGCAGGCTAATGTTCCTCTTTTGGGGAGGGCGTCTGTGGAGAAATCTGGTGAGAGTGGGGAGCTTTTTCCACCTTTTTTTTTTTTTTCCATCCTTAGTGGGGGAGGGGGACTGTAAATGCAGCCCACCACCACGTCACCAGGCAGGGAGGCGCCACATTATCTACACCCATATTGCGGCACCGCGGGTACCTAACTGACGCTATAGACGTGCGGATGCTTCTGGATTTGGCTCCAAGATCAACTTGTATTTCCATGTAAAGTGCACGCGGTGGAGTCATGTCTTTCCTGTTCATGGTCATAATGTTCGGTGTAAGCGTGCAAGAGCTGAACCAACGGCTCGACCCGATTTCGGGACTGGACACTGATAAGTGGGTGATCCCACCAAGAGCTGTCCAGAATAGGAAATCCACTCGAAGCGTTTTTCGAATCACATACCAGACGCCGGATGCTGCCCTGCAGGGATCACATGGACGTAGATCACATCACGTCAACAGTCAGCATTATGCCATGGACGGTTCTCTCGCCATCGACCCCATCGCAGAGCTCATTACAGCCTACAACGAGCTGAATAGCTCGGCTATGGATGAGCTCGACGAGGAGCCCAGCCCGCTCGAATTCATGCGCTACGTCTCCAGAAATGCGCCATTTGTCGTCAGAAAAGGTGCCAGCCGGTGGCCCGCGGCAAGGCGGTGGAGCACCTCGTTCCTCAAGGATGCGCTGGCCGGTGAGACAGTGAACGTCGCCGTGACGCCCAAAGGGTTGGTAATATAGCTTCTGCGCACCCGCGACACAAACTGTTTGTCTTCCTATGAACCTAACCGGAAACGGTACTTCGTGCCCCGACTTAGAAACGCCGATGCCCCAACGAGACTCCAAGATGGAAGCCTGGTTTTTGCGAAGCCGTGGGAGGAAGAGCAAGACTTTTCCGAGTTTTTAGACTTCGTCATCCGCCAGGAGACGGAACCGTCTAGCTCGGATGATGGCAACGAAATCCGCTACGCCCAGACACGTGCGTATGCCATCGCATATCTCTCCTGATTCACTTGGCCGCTGATGAGACCCGAAACGAGCGGCGGAGAGGGGGAGCAAAAAGAAAACGACAACCTCAGGAACGAGTACTCGACCTTGTTCAGGCACGTGCAGCGCGACATCCCCTTCGCCCGCATCGCGCTGCAGCGCGAGCCCGACGCCATCAACATGTGGATCGGCAACTCGCGCTCCGTCACGGCGCTGCACAAGGACAACTACGAGAACGTCTACGTCCAGGTCCTGGGCAGGAAGCACTTCGTCCTCCTGCCATCCCTGTGCCACCCCTGCGTGAACGAGCGGCGCCTCGCACCCGCGACGTACGCGAGGCGGCACGGGGCTGCCGCCGGCCTCGAGCTGCGGCTGGACGCCGGCGACGCGACGCCCGTGCCCTTTGCACTATGGGATCCAGACCGACCCGAGGAAGACGCCACGCGGTACTCGCCGCTGGCGTGCCCCGTCAGGGTAACTCTGGAGCCTGGAGACATGATGTATCTCCCCAGCATGTGGTGAGTCATGGCTCGGTTTCTTTGCATAACATAACAAACGACCCAAACACCATGGCTGAAGGAAAGCGCCCTTTTGTTTTAGGTACCACAAGGTTTCGCAATCCTGCGGTGACGAGGGAATCTGTGTTGCTGTCAACTACTGGTCAGTTGAGCTCCCTTTTACCATCTTCCTTCGATGTTCTATAACGCACTCCCCAACTGACGTGGGGCGACTGTCATATTGTATCCTTGGTCATTCCAGGTATGACATGGAGTTTAGTGGGCCTCTGTATCCGATGTCCTCGTTTATCAGATCGGTTCATCTCAGCCAGCAGGAAAATGCCAAGATGGAATAGAAAGTCGGCGGCTGTTGATGGTCATGGCAACCATGACTTGTGCACAGTATGGTCTCGCCATATGCGTGCATGCTTTATGCATTAATGTACCTGCGCGTCTCTGGGATATGAAAGAACCAGTAACCCATGCCTTACGCCCCCCGCCTACCTGCCCTTCTTTGCTTTCTGTGCTTTCCTTTTTAGTGCCCGCATCTCCTTCTTCATCCTGGGGTCCACAATCTTGTATCGGCCCTTGACTCCGGACGGACGCCCCTTGATACCCCGGTTGGCGCCCTTGGCCACGACAACCTTGACTGACTGCTTGGGCTTCTTCTTGGTCGCCTTCCTGAGCAGCTTCGCTATGCTCTCGGCCTTCTCCTTCTCCGTCATGCCCTCCTCATTGACCAGGAGATCCGATTTCTTCTTCAGTTTCTCTAGGCGCTGTGCCGCCTTCATCTTCTTCCGGCCCTTGGCCTCACGGACCTTCTTGATGGGCCTGGCGTTGAATGCCCTCGTCTTCTCCTTGATCGCAGCAGCGGCAGCTGCGTGGTGGGAGACGGGATCATTAGTACATCAACTCAAACATCACATAGCCTAGCGGTGGTGTAACACGATCGGGCTCTCACCTTTTGTGATTGGCTTGTGGGCCCTGTCATGCTGTCCTTCGTCGTCCAGGAACCAGTCCGGCAGGCCATCTCTGTCCTTGAAAGCGTGCCTGTTGAAGCCATCGTCAATGACATCGTAAGATGTCTTCTCTCCCGTGGCGAGTTGATGGGCGAGAGTCATTGCTTCTGCCGTAATGATGTCGATGTCTGAAAGATATTGTTAGTGGCAGCTTCCATGGAAGATATTCACGTGGGCGTCTTACCAAGCCTTCCGTCCCTTGTCCGTTTGTCTTCGTCCTCCCAGTCGTCCTCAAACCCGCTCTTTACCACCTCGAAACCATCATCGTCACTGTCATCCGAATCAGACTCAACAGCTTGGACAGCCTTGCTCTTGGTGGGTTTCTCGGCCGTTTTCTTGGCAGGTGCTTGCTTGACTTGAGGCTTGCTTGGTGCTTCCTCCATCTCAACGTCCGAGTCATCATCCGCATCGGCTTCTGTGGGTTCGTCAAGAACCCCTTCTAGATCCTTGAATATGTCCTGGTTGAAAAATGCCCTCGCTCGTTTGGAAAGCCCAGAGGTGTCAGAGGGTGCGGTGTCAAGATCCGTCAACAGCGACTTCTTGCCCGAGGCCTCACCCTCGTCATCCGAGTCGTCACTGCTCTCTTCCTCGAGTTCGCTGTCGCTGCTGATTTCTCCTTCCTTGCCGTTGTCCGACACTCCCTCCCACTCATCGTCGCCATGCCCCTGTCGGGCCTTCTTTGCCCGATACTTGGCGTCGGATGCTGCCTTGCGCTCCTTGAATTCGTCGTACAGCCCATCGAGCTCCGTTTCTAGTCGATCCTCGGCATCGTCGGATTCGTCGTCGGTTTCCCCCGAAGAGCCAATGCCGCTGTCGCGGTCCTTTTTAGGCTCCTCCTCGCTGACGACCACCATCTTGCCCTTTGTCAGCCTGCGCATGGCACCCTCTCCCTTCTCCACAGCCTTCAACGCAAACATGGCATCCTCTCCGGCTGGCCCGGCTTGGTCGAGACCAATATCCATGGGGGCAACCATGTGCATCTGCATCCGGACGATCTCCTTCTGCTTGCGCTCGTTATCCCTCCGACGCTCCCGTTTCTTTTTGGAAGCCACCTTATCCTTCAGAGCCTGGAGGTCCTCCTGTATCTTCATCTCCTCGTCCATGGACTCGACCTCTGCGACCTCTTCGGCGGCGGCGGCGGCGGTGGCGGCGGCGGCCTCCTTCTTGGCCGACTTCTTGGTGGGGAACCCAAAGATCTCCCTGACAGCCAGACGCCACTTGAGGAGCATTTTGAATTCCTTCCTGCCTAGCACCTTGAGATCCTCACAGCAGATGCGGATCTCGCCCGTCGTCTCCGGCAGCTTGTCCAGTGCGGCAAGGGCCACGTCGCCATTGGGCGGCTGTACGAAGCTGAGACGGTTGTACTGGCCCAGAATTTCGATGGGATCGGTGGTCTGGATGAACTGGCTGGCGGATATCTCCTTGAACTGTGTGTAGTCGCCATCCTCGTAACCTCCTCTCTTCCTCTTCTTGACTTCTGGCTTGTAGACCTTGGCTTCGTTGTTCGGGGTGGGGTCTGCCAGCTCTTCAAAGACGGCGCGGGGGTCTAGAAACTTGGGGTCGATCCGCTTGGGAGCCTTGAACCCCCTGCACACGACGAAGATCTCGGCCGAGACGTTTCGGGACGAGGGGGGCTTGGTGGCCTCGACTTTGGTAAACAGCTGGTTGAAGATCCACAGCAGGGAGTTGTAATCCTTGGATCGGAAGACCTTTGTGACAAAAGTGCCACCCTCGACGAGGAACTCGGTGGCCAGCTTCATGGACTGCAGGGTCAATTCGGCCTGGTTGAACGAATCTTGCACCCAGGCGGTACCGACGTTCGGAGCTCCGTCGTGAAGGACGGTGTCCACCTTCCAGCCCTTGAGATGTTGCTTGATCGTCGCCCTGCACTTCTCGGTCGTGATGTCGCTCTGAAATGTGATGACCCTTGGAATCGGCTTGATCGGAGATAGATCGACTCCGATGATGAGGCTGCCCATGGGCATAGTCTCGGCAGCTACCTGACACCAAGAGCCAGGGGCCGCGCAAAGATCCAGTAGGACCTTGGTCTTCTCGAGGAAGCCATACTTCTTGTTCAGCTGGATCAGCTTGAAGGCAGCACGGGCTCGGTATCCTTTCTCCTTGGCAAGCTTGTACCACTTGTCAAGACGGCCTTTGCCGTGTTTCTTTTGGATAGCCATCGGTTTAGAGATCCACGGGCGTATCGGCCGCTGTTGTCGTCCTTGGCGCTGTCCGTGATGTCGTCGTCGCGATTTGTATGGCCCCTCCACGAAGGCGCATTCATGCGGCTAGTTTTTTTTTTTCTCCCCAAGTCCCCGATAAGCCTAGGGTGGGCCTCTGATAAAGCTTGGCCTCAATTGACGCGCGCGGAGTGGCGCCAAGAAAGCACTTAAAGCTGTGGGGCAACACGGGGCTGTTGCTCGCGTCCAAAATCGTGTTTCCGCGTTTTTGACATGCCGCAGCGTGTCATGGGTTCATGGGCATGGGCCAGGCGCCTGGACCGCGTAAAAGTGACTTGCCCGTGCCCACCCCCTCGTCCCCCACAACTCTCCCAGACAACCGTCACTACCAAAGAAGTGCCCAGCCAACCCTGCTCTCTTTCTCCCGCAACTGCAGGCTCGAATACCATCTTTATGTTCATGTACCGACTTCAGTGATCTGGGCTGTCGAGATGAGGCATCCCACTCCCCCCAACAGCAGTCCCCTCTGCGTCAAGCGGTCCGTTACCTGGGCACCCGTTGTCCATGTCGACACCCCAGAAGAGTCCGACAACCTCGATGCCTGGCCGACCCTAGAACTGCCATTGACGCCTAGGAGACCAAGGGCACTCGGGAGTCCAATTCGATGCAACCAGACTCCGGCCGACTCCTCGCCACTCGGTGCCGCCCTCGAGGTGTGCCCTGGCTCTCCAACAGTCTTGACTCGGTCAGCAACAGCAGCGGCTGCCGCAGCAGCAGCGGCCGCAGCAACAACAGCAGAATCAAGCTCGTCCAAGAAGGAGAAAAAGCCGCCATCGATCACCCCCCGCAAGTTTCGCAAGTTCTTCACCCCACGGCCGGTTCCGGTCGTTACCAGGAGCGCTCTCCACGACATCACCCGATCCTCTCTGAACGCAACACAGCCTGTAGACGAAACGGCGAGGGAGCTGTTCCGGAACCCTGCCCGCTCCAATGCTCGTGCCGGCAAGCGACCAACAGCAGCTCTCGATGGTGATGATTTGGACAATGGCAACGGCAAGCGTCAGAAGACCAGATCTATTGCAGGGCTTGCTACACTCGACAATATCTCGTCGTCTCCTGCGAATCTGTTGGAGAGCTTGAAGCCGCCGTCGCCAAAGTTGAGAATCCCCTTGAACCATAGGGGTACCGCTGCCCAGGTTTTCCAGCGGGAGTTGGGTGATATCGATCGTGCCTTTGATATGCTGGAGCTGGCGCATCCGGTGCTTGGTGAGAATTGCACCCATCCTGACCTCAGGGGTATATACTGCGGCTTGTACACGAGCTAACAGTATGTCAGACTGGAGGACGGAGACTGCCGACTTCTGCTCCGGGCAGGATTACATCCACAGCACCGCCCAGGCCGACTCTAACCAACCTCGCAGCACCATCTTCTCACAAGCAGCATGTAACAGTATGCTGGCCCCCATCCACTTGCCCCTTTTTCGGATCCGCCAGAATACGAACAGGATACTAACTTTGTGCTCTCACCTCAGCCAATGATATGGTTCTTATTGGAGACAACATGGGCAATGTGCGACTTTTGAAGACGGACGTTTCTGGTGAGGATGGCTTCCAGAAACCTCACGTTCTGTGGACCGCCCATGACAATGCCGTGACCGATGTTGCCGTCTCAGCCGACGACCTGCGTGCCGCAACAGCGTCGGCTGACCGTACTGGCATCGTCTGGGATACGATGACGCAAAAACCGCTTACCCTGCTACCCTGCAATGGCTCCGTCAAGTCGATTCGGTTCCAGCCTGGGCAAGGGGCCGGTAATGTCGTGGCCACGAGCAGCCGTGACGGTCTGGTGCAGGTATGGGATCTGCGGTGCCGCAACGGGAGATTCAGCGACTGGCAGGACGACACCATGGGAGACGCCTCGGAGGGCTGCGAGTATCCCGTGCCTCATAGCGCGCCGCTCAACAGCTTCGTGTCGGCGCACCAGGCCTCGGCCCGGGGTGGACGCGGCGGTCAACACGCCGTCGTGACGACGCTAGAGTTCATGCCGGCTGGCAAGGAGCATCTAATATTGTCGGCGTGCGAAGCCAACGCCACCATCAAGCTCTGGGACATCCGCGCCGTCCGCCACGAGCAGGGCAACAACGCCAGCAAGCCCGTCTCTGTGGTCGCCCCACCGCCGGGCCACGCCGGTTACCGCGACTGGGGCGTCAGCTCCTTGGCCCTGGGGTCCGATGGCGCCCGGGTGTACGCACTCTGCAAGGACAACACCGTCTACGCATACTCGACCGCTCACCTCGCCCTCGGCCGCGCCCCTGAGCTAGACGCCGGCTACGAGCTAACTCGGCGTCGCAGCTCGCCCGTGCACTCAGGTCTGGCCCCGCTGTATGGCTTCCGCCACACCCTCTTCACCTCGCCCAGCTTTTTCGTCAAGCTGGCCGTCAGGCCGGCCCGTGACGGCCACTCCGAGATGATCGCCGTCGGCAGCGGCCACGGTACTCCCGTCCTGTTCCCCACTGATGAAGGCTACATCCGCTCCCAACAGGATGTCGCCTCGGCCGCTGCCTCCGGTGTCTCACTACCGGCAAGGACAGAAGGATCCTGGGGCTTCCCGGCTAGCAACAGGCACGTGACACCTCGTCCAGCCGAGGCGACGCCCATCTTCACCTCTGGCACGCCGCTCATCCACGGCCACGCCAAGGAGGCAACCTCGGTGTCGTTCACAAGTGGTGGTCGGCTAGTCACCGCATCGGACGACTTCACGGCCCGTGTCTGGTCCGAGAACCGCGATCAGGCCAGGCAGCTCCGTCATGGCGGCTGGACCGGAGGTCAGCGCTGGGGTTGGGGCTGGGCTAGTATCGACCAAGACTTTGACGAGCATGACGGTGATGAGTTTTAGCTCCACCGATGCCGGTCCGCCAGCCACTCATCTTGGGGGGCTTGGTCCCAGTAGCAAAGAAAGAAGAAGAAAAAAAAGTTAATCTATCCCCGCATACCCTGGGAATATCTTGTACGGGTCAGTTGTAACATTTTAAGGCATTGAGACGACTGTCGGGCTATGATAATTCTGTATGGGGTACGAGTCCATACACCAGAGCTGGGTATTTGGGACAAGTATACCACTTGCTCGGGACCTTGCGTGATGACGCAAGGTTTACTATAGGATTTTGTTGGGGACCTTGGCATAGGTATGGGACATGCTAGCGAATTCTTGATTTTGCTACAAATGTAGCTTAGGAACAGAGGTTCTAGTAGGAGAATAGAATTGTAAATATGACAAGAGCCGACGGGTGCCCAACAATCTAGCGTTGGAAAATGTTTGTTGCTTTGGGGTATCGCGTGACGTTGTCTAAACCGGTGCAATCGCAAGATAAAATTGGGATAAACGAGGATAACAAGGACACAGGAATGATGGGGTAAAAGCGCCAGAGGGAAAAGAAATCACGGTCCATGCCCAGAAGACCTCTGCTTCTGCTCCTTCCGCTTGAGCATGGCCTTGGCCGTCCGCTCCTTGGAAACAGCGATGCTGTCTCTGAGTCTTCCAGACGCCACGAAACCGGACCACCTCATGCTGGGGGTGTCGGCAACAGCATCCTCGGCTTCTCCAGCGAGCCCGCTGCCGCTGCCGCTGTCATCCGCGCCTTGCCGCAGCTCAGGGGCAGCCTCGACCCCGGGAGAGGCCGCGTCGTCGTCGTCGTCGTCGTCGGGCCACGCGCCAGGAGGAGCAGAGCTCCCCGCCGCCGCCTAGGCGGACGGGGCCGAGTCCTCGCCGGGGAACATCGTCGTCGGCGCCGCGGCGTCGGCGGCGGCCGGCCCGCCGCAGATGTCGTCGAGGTCGCCGACGATGCGGATCAGGAACTGGAAGACGCGGCGAGCCTCGTGGACGACGTCGTCGCGCTGGGCGGGCGACAGCGACGGGCCGGCGGCCTCGAGGCGGCGCTTAAAATCCTCCTTGAGGTCCTCGCCGTCGCGGCGGGTGGCGAAGTGCAGAAAGTCGAGCGGCAGGCGCCCGCGGCGCGGGTCCGGGTCCGCCTCGCCGGTGACGAAGCGCACGCACGACGGGTGGCCGCCGTCGCCGAGTATCGAGTCGTCGTCTTCGGCCTGCGCCGCGGCGGCGGCGGAGCTGTTGAGAGGAAAAACGTCGCTCGCCCGCACGCACGGGCGCATGCCGGGCGGCACGGGGCCCGGGTCGGCGGCCCAGAAGGACGGGTCGGCGCGGCCTTGGGCGTCGGGGAGGCCCGTTGCCGTCTCGAGGGTGGCGCGAATGTATCGGCCACCCGAGAAGAGGGCCATATACATGACCCAGCCGTGCGCGAGCAGGACGTGCGGCGCGAGCGCGACCGACGACGCCGTGTGCCTGACAAAGGCGACCAGCCCGGTCTCGTCACCGTCGTCGTCGTCGCCGCTGCCGGTGAGCAGCTTGATCTCCTGGGCCACCTCGTCCCGCGTCCACCCCGTCAGGGCCCGTACGTCCGCCACGAGCCGCGCGGCCCTCTCGAGCTCGGGCATGTGCATGTCGGTCAGGAGCTGGCGTACGGTGTCGCGGCCCTCCTCGGAGAGCTTGGGCGGGAGCTCGGCGTACGACTCAAAGTGCGTCCGCTTCGGCAGGCCGACGGGGAACTCGATGATCTGAGCCCACCACGGATGGCCGGCGGTCCCGTCGCCCGGCACGGGCTTGGTGAGAACCTGCCGCCATAGCGTCTCAAAGGCGATGTATACGGAGGCTATGTGTAGAATCCCCGTGGTGTATTGTGAGGGTTTGCTGACACGGGGTGGGAGAACCAAGGGCAGCCGCTCGAGGATGAGCTTGTTGAGCGTTCTGTGGAGGAGGCGTGTGGATGAATTGATGGCCTTTCCTAGACCCTTCTGGGCGTCATCCCTGGGTGTCTCCGGCGAAGACATCGGGAGTTGTGGGATGGGCAGTCAACCGGCGCTGGGAGTGGCGAGCCTGGGGAGCCTACAGGCTTCAGGATGCCTTGGGGAGATGGTAATGACTCGGCAAGACGAAGTTGATGCAATGATAAATCAAGGTAAAGAAGAGTAGCAATATGGATTGCCACAGGCAGAATGCGGTGATGATGGGATATTCACGGGAAGGTAATGTCTGGTTGATGTTGGTGCAAGAAACAGCAGAGGCTAGGGATGAGTGGGATGAAAAGGACGTGAGTGTTTCTCGAGTAGACAAGTCGATTATGACTGCCCAACCACCTGTCTGCGGTCAAGTGCAGCCCTAGTTCGATGCGGCACTGCGACCTCCATGTTTGTTTTCAGAGCACAACAAACATAGGACCGTGGGCTCGTGTTGGGAGGAAGGCACGCGGGGACAGAGTCCAGCGACGTGGTAGGTGTAGGTAGGGATGGAACGAACAAGCCGCGTCTCGCACCTGGTCCAGACGCAAAATCTCACGAGGCCGAAACCCCACCGACCAGCACTCGATCGGCGATCCGGCGGGGCAGCGAAAGAAAAGAAGCAGGGAGAACATTTGAGCACCACGACCCGACATTTTGGCGCGCTAAGGGCGGGCCATTCGAGCGGCCTTGTCTGCTCGCGGGAGGTCGCGGCGCAGGTGGTTGCAGAGGTTGCATGGGAAGCGGCTCCTCGGGAGACTTGCTGTTTCGACCTTTGAGGTGGGGCTATTGGGTCATGGGAACTCCTGTGCATTCCCTCGCTTTTAGCGACGACTTGCTGTGGGAAATGAGTTGACGGGGAAGACAGATAAAATGTATCTCCTGTCTGCGTATATCCTTATGAACAGTGAATAGAGGTAGGTACAAGAATGCGAACAACCAAATAAGGGCAACCCAGGTTGAAAATGCGTAGTACGTATGTGTGAAGGCAGATATAACACAAAGCCCACAGGAAACTCCACAGACACCGCCCAGTATGCGAGCAAGCGACAGAGAAACGAATCCCTCCAAAAGGTGTTAGCATACCCCGAGGAGAACGATTCGATACCCAAAAGGTGTGAAATGCAAATTGCTTAAATGCGACAAATATAAACACATCTCTCTCAAAGCACAGTTCGGGGAGTGCGTTGTATCACCAGGCCCAACCCCGTCAGAAACTCGGTGTCTTGAGCCTCAGACTGTCGAGCCGTGCTCGGTCATTCCGTGGTGCCGGTTGCGTGGATCATCGTCCTCGTGACTTTCGCGATTGATAAAGACAAACGAGAGGAGGACGACGCAGGCCCCGACCCAGTAGACCCAGCTGGAGTACTGGTGGTACTGTATCATTTCTCCTACTAATGAGAGCGGGATGGTGAGTGACAGTCCCATGGTGACGACTAGAGGTGTCGTCAGGAGCATGGCATATGCCCATGACATGTCGCTGACAAAGGATGAAAGAGAATTCAGCTAGGGAGGCACATGATGGTCAGTGACTGAGTGGCAAGATGGAAGCAAACGCGGGCGAGGGCGAGAGCGAGGGCGGGAGCGAGACGGGCATAACCTACCAAAATGATGCCCCAGATTTTGCCCGAGGGAGGCAGAGCGAGCTGTTAAAATTGACGGAATGCGGTTAGTAACATATTGGCCCCGGCTGGTAGCTGCATATAGCGTTGGAGGTCACAAGGGACAAGACCCAGGCAGGACTCACCGTTTCGATGCCCGTGAAATGCAGAATGAAGAACATGGGCCACAGCAGAATCAGGTTGAACAGGCCGACGAGGCCAAAGAACAGCGGCATGTTGACGTGGTCCTCGTTGCCGACCCGGCGCTTCATGACGGTGATGTAGAGGCCGTAGATGATGGCGCTCACAAACGCCATCGAGTCGCCGATGGCCATCTCAGCCGTCGACTTGTGCGGGAAGTTGCCGCGGTTCTCGTCGCTCTTGCCCGACAGGTCGACCGTCGAGATGAGCACGACGCCGGCCAGACCGGCCAGGACGCCGCACAGCTTGCGCACCGTGAAGCTCTCGACGCGCATGACGGCGCACAGCACGAGCGTCCACACGCTGCTCGTCGACGTCAGGATCGTCACGCTCCCCACTGACGTGTACTCGAGGCAGGCCGACGCGAAGTAGTTGGCCAGGAACCAGAGCATGCAGAACTCGAGGCTGAGCCACGCCGTCTCGCGAAGGTCGAGCCGCTCCGTCGCCGCCGCTGGGGCGCCGCCGCCGCCGCCACCGCCGGACAGGTCGAACGCCACCAGGCTGCCCTCGTCATCCACGAGCAGCCGCTCCCCGGCCTCGCCCGCGTCCTCGCCCTCCGCCTGCAGCTTCGAGTGGAGACCGCTGCTGGGCGCTCCCGGCCGCAGGCCCCGGCGCTTCTGCTCCCGCCACAGCTCCAAGGCGGCGTTGCGGAAGCTGTCGACGCCGTGCTCCCGTACGTATTTTAGCGCCATCGGTATCAGCGAGACGGCGAAGAAGGAGGTGTTGATGTAGACGACGAAGAAGGGCTTGCTGTACGTGTTGTCGGAAAATATGTACTAAAGGGCGCGGGCCGCCGGGCGCAAAGCAGAATCGTCAGCTCAGGGGTATCGGGACGAGAGGGCGTGCGCGCGCACCACCACGACCACAAGGTAACTTACGCTGGCCAAAAAGTTGGAAAGGGTCCAGAGGAAGACGGTGATGATCAGCAGTATTATGCCGAGCGTGCGCCTTGCGAACCCTGCCACCCCGAGCTTCTCCCGCAGACCCGAGCGGCCCGTCGCGGCGCTGAGGGACGACATCATGGAGTCTTGCATCAGCATTGCGCTTGATATTGACCGCCGCGGATGTAGCTGGGGGACGCTGTGCTGCTCCTCGGCGGCCAGCTCTGCTGGCCTTGTCGGATCTGCCGGCATCTTGCTATGGCTGCCGTTTTGTGTCGTGAGAGCGGGCGGGAAGTGCTCCCGTCGTTGTGCTCGTCGTGTTCGCCGTTGTGGTCGTCGTCGTGGTCGTCGTGGTCGTGTTCGTGGTCGTCGTCGTCAGCGCCGTTCGCCGTCTACACCAACGTGCAGTCGAACAGCTATGATGTCGGGTAGGAGATGGGGGCCGCGCCGCCCCAGTCTTTCTTGTTCGTGATCGGCAGCGGGCAAGCTCTCGTTGATGAAACGAGCAAAAGCGGGACCCCTAGTGCGGGCGGGATCTGCGTAGGAGGAGAATGTGTCTTGGTAGGTATGTAGGTAGGTGCGTAAGGACGAGCCGGACGGGAGGGGAAGGGCCGCAGCTCCAAAGGACACGAACGTGAGGCTTCTCTAGTCTCGATCTATGGCGGAACAGACAGATGGGCAGCGTCGCGACGGCCTTGTCGACCAAAATCGTCAGTGCATGTGCCTTCTCCAGCACCGCCGTAACAGAAACCACTGGCCCAGCCTTGGCCACACACACACACACACACACACAGCCCAGATTTGGCAACAATGCGCTAGAACTGAACTGCATCCACATCAAAGATGCCGGCAAAAGCACACCCATTACTCTGCATATCCAGGGGCAGCCCCTGGTCGCGCCCCCCAGCCGCCTGACTGTGCAGGGCGCATGTCATGGTTGATTCGCCAGCCCCGGCGCAGCCCCAGCGGCCCAGAACCAGACGGCACATGTCGGCCCCACCACCCTGACAAGCGATGACATCTGCTTGTTGCTAGCCCGCCAGTCCGATTCGTTCGGATAATGCCTGGCATTGAGGCTTGGGCTGCAGGTGCCAGGAAACCATCGTCTGATGCCTGGGCGCGGGAGCAGAGACTGCACATCTGCGCGCATCGAGTACCGATGGCTCGGGCCCGCAGGGACCATTGGCTCAGCGGCGCATCTCCTTTCGGTAGTTTTACACAGGTACCCAGTGGGAGATCACCTGTCTGGCTTTGCCCCTCCTGATGTTCTTGGGGCTCGATGCGAAGCCCCTGATCGCTATCTAGCCAAACATCAAACCAGCGCCATGCAGGAAACAGGCATTTACCATGCCAATCTCAGTCACCGCCAACGAATGATGTGGAATCGACAATATAGTAGGCAGTACGTGGGCTATCACTAGCCATTTCTCCACACTACCCAAGACAAGAGCGTCGGATGAAGAGAAGCGGTTTCATAAGAGCATGTTAACCGCGTAAGGATTGAAAACTAAAAGCCTCAAAATGTGATCCAGCGTAACAGCTCTATATAACGATAGACATGAGAAATCAGAGCGCATTACGAATGACAGACAGTGGATGGGATGGAACTCGGTCCCCAGTAAAATACCGTGCAGCAAATGATAACAAGATAAGATCCTACCAAAACTGAAAAGGAAGCCAAGAGCATCGAGTGACCTCTACACGTGATGGCAAAGGGAAGGTCGAACAAGAGAGATGGATAGCGAAAACGGCGGTCCAGTACAGTTGTTATGTTGATACATCAGACACTGCCAATGACAATCCGCGTTGATCCGGCTGGCAATGTGTCTGCCAGAAAAAAAAGCCCCTTCAGGTGTGGCACGAGACCAGGCAGCAAGCCGACTTCGGTCGAGGGATGACACCTCAGTCATTGTTTAGCATGCACATCCGTCCCTGTCGTTGTCAATGTGAATGTTTATCGGGTCCTGGAAGTCGCCACTGAACTCCTCCGACTCCTCCTGAGCAAGGGCATTCCTGGCAATGACTATATGGGAACAAGTATGTTAGCGAAAAGGCGCCTTCCTGGCAAGGCGAGGCGAGCGATGCGACAGGGTGCAGGTGAGAAGGGGACAAGATAACAGAGCCATGCCATATGATTGGCTGCCAAACGTGATTCTTACCCTCGAAAGCTTGCTCCACGTTGACTGCCTCCTTTGCGCTGGTCTCGAAATAGGGGATGCCTCCCTTGGACTGACAGAAGGTCATAGCCCTCTTGGTCGAAATCTACAAATATGACAGGATTGCCAACGGTCAGTAAAATTCCCAGGGACGCCCGTGCTCGTCATTCATCCCAAGACTGGCCCCGGCTCACCACTCGTTTGCTCTCCTCAACATCGATTTTGTTGCCCAGCACGACGAAGGGGAAGTTGTCCGGGTCCCTGGGCGAGGCCTGGATGAGGAACTCGTCGCGCCAGCTGTCGAGGGCATCAAAGCTCTTGGAGTTGTTGACATCGTAGACGAGCACACAGCAGTCCGCGCCCCGATAGAAGGCGACTCCTAGTGATTGGAACCGCTCCTGTCCTGCCGTGTCCCACAGCTATGGCGACAGCAAAAATGTGGAGTTTTAGCAACGCATCTCTTCCCATGACCAGTCGCTAGCGCAGAAATGGGGACAGGGTGGTATTTCCCGCACCTGCATAGTGACTTGGCGGTCGTCCACGAGGACTTCTCTGGTAAGGAAGTCGGCTCCGATGGTCGCCTTGTAGCTCGCGCTGAACTTCTTGTTTACCTATACGTTGCGGTTGGTTGGGTTAGACGCAAACTCGCCGGACGGGGACTGGGACTGTGTTGGCTCAGAGTAATCTGGCCAGTTTATGGGCTCTTACATATTGGTTCATCAAGCTCGTCTTGCCGACACCGCTGTCGCCTAGGATGATGACCTATATCGGTGGTTGGCGAGATAAGGTCAGCCCAGGAAAGATACCCTGTACAGCAACACGGCTGTGGTTGATGGTGAGGGCGGCGCACCTTGAGTAGGACCTTCTTTCGCGATGACATGATGGCAGTGTGGCCCGGGCTAGGGAGGTGGCTAGTATCGATGATGGAGCTGTTAGTCCAGGTTCGGCCGGCCTGGTGGTACCAGCAGTACTCTGTTTGGATTCTCGAAGGGCGACGGAAAGCGGAGAGCGCACCTCTGTCTTGGTGTGTTGTGTCTGCGGCCGTTATCGAGGGAGCGGTTGTCTGGAAGAGGGGTTTCGTCGGTAGGTGGCTAGGCCGCGGGCAGTCGGTAGCGATAGCGAGATGTCTGTCGGAGGGCAAACGGAGATTGAGCGGCTGGGTATGGTGCTTGCACTCTCAGGCCGGGCGACCGTGCCTGAGCAGAGAGTGGAGAGCTCTGGAACCAGCGCCCGGGGTCGACGGGTCATGCTTGGGAGCTGGCTTGCGAAACCCAATCAAATCGTGACGCCACTGCGTAATGTGGATGTGCTTGGGTGGGCGCCCCCCACCCAATCCCCGCCTGTCCCAGCCGATGTGGCTTGTCACGAGACAACCTAGGAACAGAAACCTCGGTCAGCCACACGTGAAGGCGTGCACACACCTTGACAGCCGCCCGCCACGGGCCTTTGCAGCCGCCGCAGGCGTCCAAGGGCTGTCTCTCGCAGCTTTACTTTTGGACCACGCGCCGCGGAATGGGTTCGGCGCACCGACTCGATGGCGGATGAGGAGCTGCTGGATAAGGTGCATAGCCTCAGCGACCTGGAGCTCGCCGCCCTGCTTTGCCTTGTCAGCCGCGAGAACTGCCTGATCAGCACAACGACAGAGGCTCTGGACGACCTTGTCGCGGAGCTGCAATTAGTACGTTTAGGGATCCCCTCCGACTCATGTGCTTGCGTCTTCCTCGCTGCTGCGGCCTCGCCAAACAGCCAACGGAACAGAAGAACAGGGGTTAACCCCGGATCCGGCGCGTCTGCGCTTTCGCAACGTCGGCAAAACAGATATCCTCGCGCACCTTCGGCCTCAAGTCGGTCATCGTCGAGTGTGGCCCGCACACCACACTAGAGGACTTTGCCACCGGCCTCCTCCTGCCGAGCCAGCCCTCCTCGCCCGCGACCGCCCGCACCGGCCTCCAGTCAGGCTCCGGTTCCGGCTCCCCGTACGCCCGTAGCGACTCGTACTTCCTCGCACACGCGGGCGGCGCATCTCCGGTCCTTCGCCCGGGGGGCACCGCCGCCGGACTATTGACCCCACCGGCCGTGGCATCGGGATCCTCGGCCCTCCAGCGGCCCACGCTGCTCGCGCCGTCTGTGTCTTCCGGCTACAACAGGAACATCAACCACAGCAGCGCCAATAGCAGCAACAATGGCAGCGGTAGCGGAAGGCTGCACCCTGTCCCCGGCCCGGGCGCCATAGCAAACGTGGTCATCGCGCGCGGCCTTGACCGGGCTCCGCGCGCTGTCCAGATCCAGGCCCTCGAGCTGCTACGCACCCGCCGCATCTTCACCCGCACCACCGTCCAGGCCGCCCCGAAGCCCTTCCTGCTAGTTGCCGCCCTTGAAGCCCAGTCTGGCGGCCGCGCTCACGTTACGCCCCACCTCAACGACCACTTTTACATCGCTCATTGGCACGACCCTGAGGACGGCTTTGTGAACCTCGAGGAGCAGCAGCAGAAGGAAGCGGAGATTGGTGCGGGCCTGGGAGGGCGCGCGGGTAGCTCCACAGACGGGGCCGGGTACGGCACGCAGCAGGTCGAGGAGCCTTTACTCTCTGATGCTGTAAGTTTGCATCTTCCGGTCACGGACGGAAACCTTGCTCGCCGCCCCCCGATCATTGACTTTTTATCTCCTTTGAACAGGACATTGGTTCCCTAGCAAGGGCCAGTCAGGAAGTCCAGATGGACATTGACGTCCTCCGTTACCTCATGAACATCGCGTCTTTCCTGCGCGTGCACCGCGCCGTGGCCAGCGGCGTGACCCCAACATCCACCAAACACTTTGAACGCCTGGCGAAGTGTATGGCCGCCCTGCACCGCCTCGACTACGTCACCCCGTCCCTGGTGGCCATGGCGGCCAAGAAGATCTATCTCCACAGGATACGCATCGTCGAGCCGTCTAAAGAGCGGAGTATGCAGTGGGGCAGCGAGCTTTCCGCGATCGAGACCATGTTGGAAGAAACGGGACCGGAGGAAGTAATGGAGGATGTCCTATCGGTAGTCACACCGCCACTGTGATCACATCTCGATTCCACGTCGAGTAAAATTGTGGAGTAGTCTGGATAGAGACCACGTCTTATTGTTTGGTATCAGTGTATGGAAACGGATCTCGCAAGGGTATTCTTATATATGACCCCGTTTAATTCTACAAAATTGACACCCAAACGCCGCGTAAAACTAGCCCCAGCAAACGGCGAAACAGGTCTGTCGTTGCCAAAGCTTGGTTGGAATCCGGCTCCTTCATGACGGGCGATACATGCTCCTCGCTCAGTGGATCTCAGAGATCTTGCAGGTCCATCCAGACCCCTTGGCCAGGAGCGGCAGACTGTAGAGGAGAGGGAAGTGGTCAGCGTACGTCTTTACAAGGCAATAGGCGGGCACAGCACTAAAAAACAGAAGCGGGGTAGACACATACCTGGCTCCCAAGCACCAGCCGAGCTCGTTGTCCTTGATCTTCTTGGCAACCTTGATCTCGCGGTCGATGGGCATCTCGTAGCCGGTGTGGACGAGGGCCAGCATGAAGTTGAGGTCGAGGCAGTACTCGGGGCGGCCGTCGAGCTCTTCGAGGGCGCCCTTTACGCCCTGGAAGACGCCCCAGGCCTCCTTGCCGCCGCAGACCACGTCGGCCAGGTCGCGCATCTCCTTGAGCGAGAAGGACTCGGGCATGCCGAGAGCCTGGGCGCGGTCGGTGAAGTACGACAGGAAGTAGATGTCCTCCTTGGCGAAGGTCTTGGCGATGGACGGCTGGTGGACGCCGTTGAAGGAGCAGGGGGCGAGCTTGCACTCGACGTCCTTCTTGAGCACCTTCTCGGCCAGGGCGCGGCACTGGGCCGGGGCGGCGGCCTTGGGGCCCGTCATGTTGATCTCCATCTCCTTGCCGAGCGCGTGGCCGTCGCCGAGCTTGACCTTGATGGTCTTTGTCATGCCGGCGCCGAAGCAGGGGTTGACGACGGGGGCGTTGAGCCAGCTCCTGTCGTCCTTCTTGGACTCGTGGATCTCGTCGACGAGCGTCTTGAAGATGGCCTCGCGCGCGCTCATGAGGCCGTAGCCCAGGTGCGAGTGCTGGTACAGCTCAAACTTGCGCCCGCCAAAGTCGAGCGCGTACTTGTGGTCCCCTTCGGCCAGCTTCTCGGGCATGCCGCCGTGCGGGGCGCCCTTGAAGGTGGGCTCGAAGACGATCTGGGTGGAGCCGCCGCCGAGGTCGAGCACGGCCGCCGTCTCGCTGCGGTCGGGGCCGCCGATCTTGCCCAGCAGGTAGTTGACGGTGACCCAAGCGTAGATGGCCTCATCCTTGCCGTCCATGATAGTGACGCCGCTCTCGCCCGCAACCACCGGGAAGGGGTAGTCGTTCTCGAGGTGCTTCCGCACCGCCGCCAGGATCTTGTCGCTCTTCTCCTTGCCGAGCAGGCGCAGGCCGGCCGTGGCCTTGACGGCGATGGGCGAGCACGACTTGAGCTTGTCGGGCACCTCCTTCATGGCCTTGTCCAGAAGGACGTCCAGGCTCTTGGCGGCGGCCTCGGGGTCATTGGGGTAGGCGCTCAGGCCGCTGCCGCCCTCCTTCTTGGCCGTCTGCTCGAAGAGCTCGCTCTCGAGCTCCGGGGCGGCGCCGCAGTTGTTGAACTTGTAGACGTGGATGCGCGAGCCGGTGCTGCCGGCGTCGACCATGAGGACATACTGGACGATGGGCTTGTCCTTGGAGAAGGACTTGGCGCACTTGGAGGTGCCGTACGAAGAGTCGGTGGGGGCCTGGCCCTGACCGGCGCCGCCAGACGCTGGCCTCGACACTGGCACTGCTAGATGGTGGGTTAGATGACTTTGCCTGCTTTGCCGCAAGTGCCGCACAAGCGTGAACCAGCCGAAGTGGTCCCAAACTGCAACGTGGCGCCTTGCAACGTACCTGGTCTGCCTCCTCCTCCTCCTCCTCCTCCTCCTGCTGCCCTGCCGAGGGGGAGCTCCATGCCCGAGGGCGTCAGGAAGAAGACCAGAAACAAGATGCCGGTCAGGACAGCGATGATTTTAAACCATCGCGCCTGCCGGGCTTGGTTCATGGTCGTCACGAGTTGCTCCAGGATGCCGACGTCGCGCTGGTTGTGGTCGTAGCGGGCGCGTTTCTCGTGAGGGTCGCGGGCGACTCTGTTGTTGGTTGGTAATGAAACTGATGTTCTGCGCATGTCAAATTACTGGGCGGTATGGGGTCGAGGATACGAGACCAAGCGGACGCATCCCTCAACGAGCCACTAAAACAAAAGTACAGAAAAAAGAAGGGAGGGTGAACGAGAGACTTGAAGGAGGCAATCTCGAGGGTGGACGCGCAGAACTATGAACAGCAAAGAGGTGAGGAGTAGGAGTCCTTACGACTGCATCGAATATGTGTTGATCGAACAGGACACCCTTTTTTTACTGACAGATCAGATCGAAAAAGGGGGCTGCTCAGAAGACCACACGTCAAAGATTTCAATCAATAATCCCAGCCATCCACACGCAGCTGGCGGGCGGTCTTCAGTTCGGATCCTTGACTGGCCCAGTTCTCTTCGTTACGTGACTTCCCTGCCCATCTGGAGCCCTGGAGGGCCGCCGCGGTGGGTCCGCCCCGAGCCAATTGTGTCCTGGGAATTGGGCTGAGGTGGGGGTCACCGATCCAGCCCTAGGTTAGAGGTTCCAAATTGGCCAAAACGGCCTGAAGAGCTGGTCTCAGCACCCGGCGCCTTCAACTCTATCTGGCGCTTCCCGTCCTTGATTCATTTTAGGTGCGTGGGTGGGTAGATGGCAGCAACCTGGCGTGAACCCCGTCGTTTGCATGCCTGCACAGACAGCCTCCAGAGTGTGGGCAAATGACGCGACGACAGAATGGCGAAGCCCAACGTGCCAACTGAGCAGCCCTGAATCCATTATGTAAATCCCAACATTGAACCTGACCTGATGCAGAACCCAGTGGTTCTGGCAAGTGCGCAAGCCCGCCGCCGAGCCGAACCGAGCGCAACACCCCCATCGCTCCATTGATGCAGGGGGGAAGCTCATGGGACAAGCAGGCGCCTTTTCTTTTCTTTCTTTCCTTTCGTTTGTTTCTCTCTCGCATGGTCATTCATGCCGTTGGTTCTACGACGCACTTGTATCACCCACTGCGCGGCATCGCGCTTCCCCTCTTCTTGCCACGGCGGCAGGTGCTGGGTGCCGAGGATCGCCTCTTTTCTAGCCGTAACGAGAAGGCTATTTTGCCTCTAATGCCTTGGTCGGCGGCACGCTCGGGTTCTGACTGGGCGCCGCCGGACGTAGTGCGACGCGGCAAACGGCTGGCCGCTCAGGCCGTGGAAGGGCCTCGTGGTAAGCTATGACGAGGACATAGGCATTCAAATGCTGGCTGCCCGGCCCTGAGTTGACGTTGGCCATCCTCTGCTCGCTCTTGATCTCCAGCTTTGAACGCCCAAGATATGCGCCCGTGACTCTACAATCATCGAATACCGAGACAAAGCCCGAGAAACACTCTGAGACGTCGGCTCATATCTCAAGCTACCTTGACTTACCCCCTCTTGTGCGACAACAATCACTACCTCCTCGGTCGAGGTGCCGATCCGACGGCTACTGGCCGAAATGCTTCGGGCAGCTTCCTTCGCCTCCTTCCTCGCCGGGACACTCCTGCTTATCGCCAGCCTCTTCGTCCCGACCGTGAGCAGCCACCCGCTCAGCCTAGCGCATCTTTGGCCCGACGTGTGCCAGCCGGTGCATTTCCACGAGTTTCTCTCGCTCGCTAGGTCTAGCGGCAACCCCGTCTCGCTCGGGCCGTACGGCTACTACCTACATTTCGGGAACGCACGATGCTTCTTTTTCCGGGCAACTTCTCCAGGCGACGCGGATAAATTTCTGTACTATCACCAGGCGCTTGTGGATGCATTGTGATGACGGGACGGGAGTGTGTGACGAAGCGACGGCGCTCGTTTTATTCACTGGAACGGCAAACGACTTGAATCAATACTTGTGCACAGCAACATGACTTTACGACAGCGATCAGGCTGCGGGGCTAGGATGGGTTGGATGACAGGCACTCCTAATCACCAAAACACATTGTTGAAGATGGAATAGAATACCCAAATTTGCTCTGTATTCTAGTCGTTTCTCACATATGGATCTTCCGGACTGCGAAATAGGCAATCATCGTGCGTGTTACTGCGGTGGCTGACGGTCGCGCGGGTTTAGGTAGAAGCCGCTGTACGTGGCGGATTAATTCATGTGCCAGACCAGATTCAAAACCACAGCCCTTTGATTGATCTCGGACCTCACGGAAACCCTTAGAAATCGAAAGACGCATCCTCCCTTCATTGCGCCCACGGATCGATTCTCTTGATACCCATTTCTTAGAAATTGAGGACGGCTTCTCCCTCCTCAGTGAGCTCATTTCATCCAACCAGGTCTCATCATTTAGGCGCGCTAGGGGGCATTGCGCGACACGAGCCCAAGTCCAACAAACAGCAGCATCATCGCTCGAATTGCCTCAATCATTTTACACGGTCTTCACGATGGAAGTCCATGTGCTCATATATGACCTCTCTGGAGGCATGGCGCGCCAGATGAGCCTTGGCATGCTGGGTTTCCAGCTGGACGCCATCTATCACACCTCTATCCTGCTCAACGGCCTCGAGTATGTTTACGACGGCAACATCGTGGCCATCACCCCGGGCACGTCTCATCTCGGAAACCCGCTCGACAGGGAGCCGCTTGGGACGACGCAACTGCCCATGGACGTTATCGAGACCTATCTAGACTCTCTGCGATCAGTCTACACACCCGAAGCCTACAACCTATGGCGGCATAACTGTAATAACTTCAGCAACGACTTTGCCACATTCCTTGTCGGGAAAGGCATCCCCGACAAGATCATCAACATGCCCGCCGAGGTGCTGGAGTCACCTCTTGGCCGCATGCTCATGCCCGCCCTCGACCAACAGGTCCGCGCGAGCAAGCAGCAGAACGGCGGCGGCATCCTGGGCATCCAGAACGGCCAGCAGGCCGGCGGCTCCAGCGCCGCCGCCGCGCCCGCCTTCAGAGTCCGCGAGGTGATGAACCTCGGCGGCCTGGACGCGCTCCTGGCCGAGGCGCGGGGCTCGTGCGCCGTCGTCTTCTTCACCTCGGCCACCTGCGGCCCCTGCAGGATGCTCTACCCGCTCTACGAGGAACTGGCCGAGGAGGTGGCGGACAAGGGCCTCGTGATCAAGGCCGACATATCCATCGCGCGGGACGTCGCTGCCCGCTACTCTATCACCGCGACCCCGACCTTCATCACCTTCCTCAAGGGCGAGCAGGAGAACCGCTGGATGGGGGCCGACGCGAGCGCGCTCAGGGGCAACGTCCGCCTCCTGGTCCAGATGGCGTGGCTGCGGCACCCGCACCAGTCGCTGCGCCTGCCGAGCCTGCACAAGGAGAACCCCAGGCCGGTCCTGTTCGCAAAGGTGCCCCCGCTCCCGAAGCTCCTCGCCAAAATGGGACCGGCTGGCGACGACACGGCCGTCCAGGGGGTCGTCAAGTTCATCGAGGCGAGGTCCAAGGAGGGGGCCGCGGGGGCCCATCTCCCCGACGTCGCCGCCTTTTCCGCATTTGTCGCCAGCTCCGTCGAGTCGCTGTCGCCGGACTCGCTGTTCCCGTTGGTGGACATGCTGCGCTGCGGACTCGTCGACCCCCGGCTCAGCGGCTGCTTCGCCGAGGAGGCGGACCACAAGACCATCTCTGCCCTCCTCACCCACGTCAACGGCCTGGATAGCTGCCCATACCCCCTGCGCCTTGTTACCCTGCAGGCCGCCTGCAACCTCTTCTCCAGCACGCTCTACTGGGGCCCGATCCTGAGCCACGCCGGGCTGCGCTCCCAGGTCGTGCGGCTCGTATCCTCCAGCTTCCTAGACGAGGCCCACACCAGCGTCCGCGTCGCCGCCGCCTCGGTTTTGTTCAACGTGGCAGTGGTCAACGGCGCGGGCCGGAGGGGAGGAGGGCGGCCGTGGCCGGGGCCGGGGCCGGGGGACCCGCTGTCGGACGACGATCAGGTGGAGCTGGCGGCGTCCGTGGTGGAGGCCATCTCGCGGGAGGGTGAGTCCCGCGAGGCGCTCGAGGGCATGCTGCTCGCGCTGGGTCGCCTGCTCTACAGGCTGCCGCCCGACAGCGAGCTCGCAGACCTCGTGGCGGCGCTCGATGCTAAGGGGACGGTGTTGGCTAAGAAGGCAAAGTTCAAGGGCATGTCGCTGATTGACGAGATCGGGTCCGAGCTGCTCGGGAACGTGACCAAGGGGTTCAAGTCGCCAGCGCAATGACGTGCATTTTAGCAATATTGCGCTGGCTGTTCATATCTGCGGCATCGACATGATAAAACTAAAGGATAATGATGGTTACCACCAGAGGGCATGAATAGAAATACAACTCAATCCGGCGACTTAGTATGGCAATATGAATTCATGGGGTCTAGTGGCTACATTGGGGCGTGACACTATCTGATTGCCACATATCTGGCTGATCCTAAACAATTCGTCCATGGCCCGTCAAGTCTGAAGTTGAGATTGTGGTGATGTGGTGAATACCGGTGTTGCCTCGGGCGCTCGCCTACGCCTCAGGGCTCCGGGCGACCCTCCACTCGACGTAGCGTTCATGGCCTACGTGGCCAGAAGAGAGCAGCAAGTTGAACTTCTTTCTCGCCTTGGCCGAGGGAGGGCCGCTGGTGAAGGGGAATCGGAGCGGCCACTTTTCTACGATGGTGTTGCTTCTCTTCATCTCGACGCCGGCCGCGGCCGCAACTTTGTCGAAGCTGTGGCTGATCATGTAGCTGCAGGAGGCCGTCGCACGCTGTTAGTTGTTGCATATCCCCAGCGCTATTCATGGCGAAGAGATGAATAGGCAGGTAGGAATATGAAGTAGACTTACAATTCGAAGACGCCATCCATGTCCCTGGCCTTGTTAATGACCATGGCCACCATCCACATCGATGTCCCGGGATCGCGCCCGTCCAAAGTCAACTCTGGCGCCCGGTCGCGGCTGGACCCTGGAAGGTTGAAAATGTAGGGCATGAGCTTTGGCATAGCTTTGGCCATCTCCATCTTCTGGTACATGGGCCCCATCGCTTCGGCAGTGAAGGGTACGGCATTGAGGAAGCTCGTCACGATGGTGGCCTTGTTGTTGACCTCGCTGCTCTTGAGTAAGGGTCCGAGGACACGAAGAGTGTCTTCGATGCCGACGTAGTTCGCGTCCGAAATGTTGGAGGTCTGGTTGCCAGAATTAGCAAGGAGATGGGGAATATCCTGCACCTCCCAAGCAGGATAAAGAGCAAGTATAATGTGATAGCAGGGGAAAGATGGATGCAACAGCATGTGACATACATCGATACGGTCAAATTTCCTGTCACCAACGAAGTCCCCCAGACGACGAGCATCGACACAGTGCAGCTCCAAGGAGACTCTCCTGACAGCCAGCTGGTCATGAAACTGGCAGAAGCGCTCAAGAACGTATTCATAGAGCGCCCCATTCGTGTCGCTCTTGGCCAGGCTCTTCTGCGAGCGCAGGACCTCGGGAAGGGACCAGCTATCAAATAGATTCGCGCTGTCGTTCATGGGCCAGCACCCATTCACATAGAAGATCGTGCTGGAAGTGCGCAGCTGGGATTAGTCATCGGCATGGAGCTAGATGCTAAGCAGGTACCCTGCCTAGATACCTACACAACTAGCTGCCTAGGTGCTAGACTATATCTAGGGCGAGATGGGATAGACGTACGGGTTTGGGACGAGGAAGTCGGCTCTTGAGGCCCCGAACGGAAGGAGAATACCGTCCGACTTGAACTTCTCATAGCCCATGCGGCATTTGGGAATCTGGCAGAACATGTAGCGCTCTCTGAAGTCGACCCGACCGGGGGCGTCGACCACCCTGTCACGGACTGCCTTGGCCCGGGCCAGCTCGAAGTTCCTCGGCGCCTCGAGCCTGGCAAGGAGGACGAGCCACTGGCGTCTCGTGAGTACCAGGCGGACTTGGGTGCCGTCCTGGACGCCAAAGGCCCAGGTTTTGGCTAGCAAGGCGCCCGGGGCCTTTGCCGAGGTCTTCTCGCACACCTCGCGCACCAGCGGCCGGATGTTGCTCTCGAGAATCTGTATATGCGACTCCGTGACAAAGGCAGAGTAGAATAGGTGCAGCACGCACTCGGCCGCCACGTCCTTGTCCTTGACGGTGGCGAAGATGAGCAGAAAGATGGCGTTGCGAGCCACGACGTCAGGGTCAATATCGTTGAGTACCACCGTAACTGCGTGCTTGTACTCTCCAGGCAGCTGGCCGATGGACATGACAGCGTTGCGGAGGTCACCGGAGGCTAGTGCCGGGTGAATGGGAGATGGTTAGTGGAGCTACTAGTGAGGCTATACGGTGGTTACGCAAAAGTATAGCAGAAGGGGAACTGGGCTTGCTCGTTGGATACCCGGGTGGTATGAATATGGACTACATACCAGCGAAAAGCATGTCCAGGCCCTGCTTAAAGCCAGTCCCTTCATTGCTCTGAAGCTTGACGACATCGATGGCGGGGACATTTCCCCAGAGGTATTTTTTCAGAGAACCGAACGGCGGCACGAGGGACTGACGGCCACCGTTGGTCAGGAAGGAGGGTGGGCGGCCCTCCTTGGCCCAGCCGGGTTGCCAGCCTGCTTTGAGCAGCTCAGATTCGCAGTCCTTCTTGTGCTGCTGGGCGTGTTGCTTCTTGCACTTGTCGCCGCAGTACTGGTTTGAGGAGGAGGATCTGGTTAGCTGGATGCTTCTGTTGCGCTTTTCGAACACCCGGAAACTGCTGCGGGGATATGTCTTACGGCGACGAGCCCACAGCGACCGCAGACGCTCGTGGCCATCTTGGTGCATGGTGTGTTCCCGCCCTCGCCTACGCGACCGTGGTTGGCACATTTGAAGTGTACAGCATGCTTCCGATGGACAGGATCGCCCGCCTCTGGGTTGGTGGAAGCCATTGTCTCTTTGGCGATGTAAAGAGCAGGCTGATGAAGATGGATGCTCCGGATAGCAAAGGTGGTGGGGAGAAGTGCTATGATTTAGGAGATGGAAGAAGTCCCTCTATGGGACTATGGAGGGTTTGGGGACATAGCTAGTGCAGATGCCAAATGGAGAAAGGATGGCAGAATACAAAGAACAATGGGTGGTGAAGAAACAGGCAGTCTCTACCGATTTGGCACCCGTTATATAAGCCATGCACACCACATGAGATGGAGAGCAAACGAGGTAGGTTTCTTGGACAACGGAAAATGCCCAGTAAGAGTCCGTTTGTCGTTGACACATCTGGCCACTCAACCGGGTAGCTACACTCATACGGGCCGCCATTATCCGCTCGTCGGGATGGTAGAAGGCCAGCCACTAGGACTGTAATTTATGGGACTGTTGTGCGTGCTCATTTGGTCGGACCTCGTGTGATCGTGTAGTTGTCTCTCCTAAGAGCATTCACACCTCCATACCCAGGCACCCAGGAACCCAGGCGTTGTTTTCTTTCCAGTGGCACAACATGCTCAGAACGACAGCCCCGCCTGCCTATGTCGATATCTTGGCCAATTAGATACTGAGTGGCAGATATAAGGCGATCTGAGCCCGGCGTGACCTGGCAATCGTACACGCGCCCACGTTCGATAAATGTATGTATTATACGCTGCTTTGTCTATGGAAGAGACCTCAGTGCTTCTACTTGGTATATGCGTGGGGAAAAACCCTTGGGTTGGGCCTAGGGGGGAAAACCCTGCGCCCGCGTTCCGCCTCTATGGCGTTGCGCCTCCGTAGCGGTGTTGAACCGGTGGCTGCGCCTACGTTCGATAAATGTAAAAAAAACAAATTCCATCGCTGGCTACATGTGAGCTCCCGGGGAAGGACGCTAGGGAATTCCAAGCTTGTCGACGCCAGGTGGGCCTCTCATCCCGTGCCTAGTTTTATTTAGGAGTATGTACAGTTCCCCTTCAGCCGGTCTGGTCGATGAAATGCAAAAAAGGGAGGCTGCTACGCATGTTGCATGGCAAAGAGCTGTGTAAGTCGAGGCGAGGCTGATTGGTGGGTCTGTAGCCATCATCAGCGGATCGTCGTCGTGCCACGTGACTACGCGTCCAAGTGGGGCAAGGCGGATGCCGTCAGGCGCGAGAACGTTGAGGCAGGGAAGGTGCCTTTCGGACCTACATTCATGACAAAGCTGATTTCATGAGCAGAACTCATGGTTGATTGATTGCTGTTTCATTTCACTTGGCGCCGAACACCTTCTCTCTGCTACGGCATTTCTCTCCCAGTACTCGTCGTCCATCGCCCGCAAACGCAATGCCTAGATTCAGCAAGAAGCGCGCTCGCGTCGAGGAGGATGCATCGGACGGCGGCGATGCTGGCCAGGCTTCGGCACCCGCAAAGAAGGTCAAGTCAAAAGAATCGAAGCAGAAGGAGGCCAAACCAAAGGAAGCCAAGTCAAAAGAGCCCACTGCGCTCGGCTCAGGCGTGGACAACGAGGGCAACCCGTACTGGGAGGTAAGCCGCGTTGCGGACAAACACCCCGTCGCTGTCAGTACTCCAACTGATAGCTGGGAATTTCCACAGATTTCTGCAAAACGTCGGGTTGGAATCGCGAAGTTCAACAAAATGGTCCTCGTCAATATCCGTGAATACTACGACCAGGCTGGCGAGTTGAAGCCTGGCAAAAAGGCAAGCTGCTGCTGATCCCAGGCACCCCTCATCCCACGATCGCGAACTAACGCCAACACATCTGTGACGCGTTCAGGGGATCTCGCTCACGCTTGACCAGTATCAAGCGCTGCTGAAGAACGCCCCGGTCATCAACGCCGAGCTGCGCAAGATGGGTGAGGACGTCCAGGACGTCGAAGCCAGCACAGCCGACCCTCCCGCCGAATCTCCCAGGCCACCGTCTCGAGATAAGCGCGCCAAGGCGAACATCGAGGCTACGAGCGACGAGGAGTCGAGCTGAGCGCTTCCTGTCAGGTCGGATTTCCGCCACCGCCGAATTTCTCGTCTTTTAATCTCTTTTTACAATAACGAATGTACGACTTTAAAGCCCTAAGGGAATCTTGCGGTAGTTGAGACCTCGTGCCCCAAAATACTGGGCGTATCTGGATTCACCTTGAAATCATCGCCATGTTCCCCGTCCTGACATCCATACCCTCGTCTGCTCATTCTACCGCACACGCTCGGCTGTGCTCTCCCTCCGGTTTTTTACACCATTTTTTATCATGCTGTTCAGGGGCTAGGGCTTTTCTTTTGTAATCAATTGAAGGCATTTCTTCGTAAATCAAGTTCTCACTCGAACTGTCCACCCACTAACGCCGGCTAAGCGCGATGAAACCAAAAAAAAAAAAAAACTCATGAGAAGGTTCCCAAGCCCGGTTTGCAGCGGCACTTGTTGACATGGAATGGATAAAGATCAAACACAAACTCCCAAGCAGTCGTTACAATACTGGACCTCCTTCCGGGCTTGTACGCATTTCAGCCCACCACTGCAGGCTGAGCCCAGAAAGCCTCCGCAGCTAGCGCCGGCGCCGGAGCTGGGTGTGGGGGTGGTGACGGGCGCGGTGCTATCACCAGACGCAGGAGACCCGGGGGCCGGGGCAGAGCCGGTCTCTGGGACGCAGATTCCTGGGCACGCGTGTATGTTAGCGACACTCGACTTTGAACCGACTTCTTCTTTTCACCCGTATTGGCATCACCACATACCTGGTATGTCACAGGACATACCGCAGCTGCGGCTGGCGGGCCTGTAGGGGTTGTCGATGCACTTGAGCCCTGGGCTGCAGGGCTTCATTCCCCGCGAGCCGCAAGAGGTGTACTTTGGCCGCTCCGCCTCGACGGCGAGGGTGAAGGGGAGCGCAAGGAGCACGACAGAGAAGGTGTGGAACATCATCTTTCCCGCTGCGATTATTTGGATGGTGGGGAACCGTGTCGGTATGGCGGAGGGAGGTGTGTGGTTGCGAGATTCACAAGAGTTTGTGAGCTGATGGGTTTGGCTGCCAGACAAACGATGAAGATGGGTTCTCGGGGTGGCAGAGAGGGCTTGTTTAAATCCATCACGGTCTATCTCATTGCCCACATGGCAAGAGAGCTTCACAAAGGCCAAGAGGCATCACAATCACACGCATTCTTGCTTGTTTAGGCTGAGTGTACCCTCCCCTCGTCTCACACGTATATTACGCTCCACACGCGAGGGCCGGCGAATCGCCTTGGCGGCACTTGACGTCGTATACGATCTCGACGTGGCTCGAGCAAGGTATGATGCAGCCATATGCGGGGTGGGATGCCTCATTCCTAGGGTCGGGCTCCCAATGTTTCCGATTGTTTCAAGTGACGTGCGGCGAGCTGCCGAGCGCGCCTTCTGGCCCGCTGTCATGATCCCTGTCTTTATCCAGGAACGCCCATCCATCCCACTGTGTCCGCTTCTATAATTGGCAACAGTGGGATGAAAAGGGGCAAGGGGTGGCTCGGCTATTTAACTTTAACTCTTTTAGGCGTCAACAAGGCTTCCGTGATGGAGGTACTGTATCTTCTCGGTCGAATCTGGAGGACATGTGTTGCGGTTAGCCTGCTCTCGAAGCAAGAGCAGAGTCCACGATGCAGCCAATATCCATCGTCGAGCATGTTAATCCCTGGCGGGTCCTCTCGCTGGTGCGGCTCAATCCCGCTGTACTGATAACCTTGACGAGCCAAGGTGGGTCGGGCGGCTTCGAGGCTTGGCTCAGCCTCAGCCAGTCAGCAACGCTCATGATTATTATATTTTATACGAGCTGTCAGAAACGATTGGTTTTTTCTTTTCCTTTGCCCCCTTGCTTCTTTTGCTTTGCTAGCAACTTGAGTAAGCTTGGCGCAAGGCACTTCAGCCAGCACCGTATACACGTCGCCGCCATTCACATCCCGAATGACTTCTCTCCGGCAAGGTGCTATTTTTTTTTAGCCGTGGCTTCGCCTACTGCATGCTAACATCCGTCGAGGTGGCTGCACGATGGCGGTCTAAAGATGGGGGAGACGGCCCCTCTCGCCGACTTGGGGAGACAGCATCCGTCCGCCGAGATGTGGAGGGTCAGGACTGCGGAACTTGCAAGTAGGGAAAAATCTCGAGAATGGATGGGGAAAAAAGAGAGAGAAGGTAGGTGTTAACTGGCGGTTTAGTTCAGCCTCGATACCAGGATTTAAGCGAACCTTGTTTGGTTTTGGACAACCTCTCCGATACTGTTGACGGAGTTGACCTGCAGCCACCATGAACAATCCGAAGCTGCCATTTTCCATTACCAGAATGCCTAACAGCTTATTTTACACAAACCCTGGTTCTTATCTCCCCTTCACCTCTCGATATTTGGTTATCTACCAAACCTCAGCTCGCCGCATCACGCGCCCTACCTTGCACGGAATACTTTGAGAAAATCCCTCACCACGCCACTACAGCGCCAGCCAAAGACGGGGATCGAGAGGCCAAGATGCTTAGCCCGACGCGTATCCTCCTCGTCGTCCTCGGAGCCCTGTTCGCCGGCGGCGCCACGGCCGCTCCCCTGCACGCGGCCCATCACAAAGAGGGAGTGGCCGCCGGCGGACTCGTCCGCATGTTCCGCGCCCTACAAGGCTAGGCTGTCGACGCGTAGGGCAACGCCCCTCCTAGCCTGGAAGCTCATGAAAGGAGCGAGAAGCGGTGGCTGGTTCCGGCCTGGCTGGGCGCGAAGCCCTTTGGGGAGAAGGCGGAGCAGGTCAGGGATGGCAATGACGATGCCTCGGCTGCCTCTTCGCCTACTTCCCGCATTTCTGCCATACTACCGAGTTCGCCGGGCCGTGCTTCCGGCCCGTGATCATCTCGAGCCCGGCATAAAAACCGGAGAGTGGGAAGATTGAGGACGACGAGGAGGAAATATAGCCCTGAAGCTGGACGCCAAGGGCCGAGGGGAGTGATATTGGGGGCCCCAGCGGATGGAAATATAAAAGAGCGCCCAGCAGACGACCAAAATGCTACAGAAAACTACCTCGATTATTAGACAGCGCCATGTTTTCGGAACGCGGAGACGGACGAACTCATCGACAACTCCCCAACAAGAACGGATCGCCACTTTAAATGTTGCCACTCGCGATATCGGCGCCTCTAACCCCTTCGCTCAAGAAAACCTTAACAGCTGAAATCGCGTTAGAAAACAAGGGGTATGAGTATTATCGTGAAGGGGGCATCAGGGAGACAAAGAAAGAGCGAATGGTGCAGAGGGAGAAGTGAATATCAAATGGCTCGACAAGATGCAGAGAAGCACACATCCAAGCCCGTCAGATTCCGGAATCGTCTTGCAGGATGTTGAAGTCGGTGGCGTACGAGCTCCAGGTCGCACAGCTGTCGCTGAGGACCGACTTGCTGTACGGGATCTCGGCTGCACGCTCGACCAGCTGCAGCGCAAAGCCTTGACCGGTATGCCAACCTATCTGTTACAATTTCAAAAAATAATGAATTAGCTTCAGGGATGCATAAAAGCCGAAGATGGGAACAGGCTAGAAGTGAGAACAGGCTTACGTGGCAGTGCATCAGCCAGACTCCTGGGTTATCCGTCTTGAAGGCCAACACCAGGTGGCCGTGGGCAGGCAGCATCACGACGTCGCGCCGAGGCGGGTTTTTGAGCTGCAGGGTGGTGTTGGGGGAGTGTCTGCCCCTTGCCCTCGAGAGGATGTGCACGTCGTGGCCGTGGAGGTGGATGGGGTGGTCCTGCGGATGATGGTGGCAAAGGTTGGGTTAGACGGGCTAGACCAGTTGCCGAGGTCTGTTCTGGATAGTTTCCCCTAAAAGCACTTACGAAGCCAGTATTCTCGATAACAAAATACACCCATTGATTCGCCCCCTCCAGGGTCACGACTTGCTGGTTGGGTTGCCAGGTCTGGTTGCCCGAGATGGCCTGCAAAAGACCTTGGGAGGAATACACGCTGTCAGTGAGACTGCCGCTACCAGGAATCTCGGCACAAGGCTGGGATGCGACAAAACTCACTGGGATATCCCCAATCGGAGAGGAACGTGTTCTTGTTCAGCGTCCACTTGAACCAGCCGTCCACCACCTGCAGGCCCACCACAAAGGGGTCCTGCCGGCTGGCCTCGCCGACGTCGAGGGGGACGACGGGCACGAGGCTCGCCGCGGGCTCGTCGGCGCAGCTATCCTCGTACGGCAGCATCGACGTGGTCGGGCTCCCTTCCGCCGACGCCGATGCCGACGCCGATGCCGCCCCGCGGTAGCGCACGACGCCCTTGATGTTCATGAGGTCCGCGTGGCGGCTACCACAGCTGGCCGAGGGCACGGCGCGCAGCCAGTACGCTGCTGCTGCGGCGTCGTCGGCGGGGACGTCGGCCGCCGCCGCAGCAATTACAAGGTCGTAGCGCTGCCCGATGCCGACGTTGACGGACGCCGTCTCGTAGGGCACGATGGGCACCAGGTCGGCGGCGATGACGGTCAGGTTGTGGCCGTCGAGGGCGAAGCGGAACATGGTGTCCATGGCGGCGTTGACGACGCGGACGCGGTACCGCCGGCCCGGCGCGAACTCGGCCTCGAACCGGCGGCCGCCGTCGCCAAAGACGTTTGTGCCATTGATGAGCCCGTTGGCGGCCGTAGGGGGGCCCCGGGTCGAGGCCCGCGCGTAGAGCTGGTCGGCCGTCTCGTGGAACCAGTCGTTGAGTATCAGGGTCCCCAGGTCCTCGTCGTAGGGCGCCGACGCTGGCCCGTTGATTATTATGCCGCCAAACACGCCGTTCCTAGACCAAGAGGCGGGGTGGGTGGGGCTGTCAGTACCGGGCTGGGAGCCAAGTGTGTGTGTCTTGACATGTGGCGTTCATAACGTACCATGCCTGTAGCTGGAAGTGGCTGTGGTACCACGAAGACCCGTACTGTGTCGCCTTGAACGTGTAGGTCATAGAGTCGCCAGGGGGCGTGGGGCACTGAGTGACGGACGCAACACCGTCCATCTCAGTGGTGTAGTTCTGCCGGATCCCATGAAAATGGATGCTGGTTCCGTTATCCTGTAGGAGATTCCGGACATGAACGACTGAAGCCAGAAACAGCCGAGGTCAGCCTCTGCTATCATACTCAGGGCCATCTATGGCTAACTACTCACCGATGGTGTCTCCCCAGTCTGCTATGATGGTAGGCCCCGGCACGGTTCCGTTGATGGAGAGCACCGTCCTTTCGACCCCGTCAGGGGCCATGGTGGAGTTGACGACATCGAACCAGTACTCCCGCACGACGCCAGTGCTGGGGCCGTCGTCGTAGTAGTTCGTCGAGAGGTTAAACTTGCCCCAGCATTCCGGCGTCTTTGACGAGTCAAACTGGCAGCAGCCATCTGCGCCCGGTGGGGGCGGCGCTTCGCGACCGTGGGGAGGCGCGGCCAGCGCGGCAGACGCACAGAAAAGGGAGACGAGGCTCGGGACCAACAGGGAGATCTGCATTGCTTCGTCGGGGGGAGCCAACAGCGGGTTGGTGCGGCAGGGACGTGGGTGGACTAACTGACGGAGCTGTCGAGCCCAGCGCAAAGATACCGGGCGAACCACGTATGTATATATGGCTCAACTGCACTTCGTCGTGACTCTGGGTCCTGTCTTCGAGGCTCTCTACATGCACCAACCAGCAACACTGAAAGGGCCTGCCAACCACCACCAAGCCAGCCAGCCACCTGTACACAGGCGGCCGTTCTTTTCTTAATTCCTAGGCACCCTGCCTCCCATATATCCATGCCGCCCGACCATAGTGCCATATCCGGGATCGAGGCCTGATGAATCACACGAGTAGCTGCACGAGCAGAGCATGCATATGAGCACACACGACTGTGAATCGAACTCCAAGTGGCACACTGTCAGGAATCGCCTCGGCAGCAGGCCAGGCCGCAGGTGGCGGGCCCGCCTTTCCCCAGCCTTGCGGGAGACTGTCGGGATATATGGGACAGCGACCATCCCTCGGTGCCGGCCCCCAAGACCCAGAGCACGAGCCCAGCCTGGGCTGGCATGGGGTAGCTAGCTCCCACGGGCTTGATAGCGAGGCAGTTCTCGACACCATCAGCCGCGCGACTCATGGCCTGCTGCGAATAATTGGCATCAAAGTCTGTGCAGAGCCCCAGGCGCATCTTCTCAGGCATCAGCTTTGACTTGATTTATAGAGTTTCCGTTCAAGAGCGGCCTGGACGGGGAGCACTGTCTGTCACCCAGCCATCCGGGAGTAGGGCGTGGGGGCACAGAGTGCCACAGCCATCTATGGGACAGAGGCGCATTTCCGATATGATCCATGAGCGCTATCCTTGAGGCGACATGTAGAAATAGTGGGCGAAGGCACTGGTTAGGTAACCGAGTGCTTCGAGGGCATACCGAGAATAGGGTGAAGATGAAAGCCTCTATGCATGGCGACTCTATCTCGCCCTAAACTCGCGGGACATTTGTGCTGCAGGCCAAGAAAGCATCCAGCACAAATATCCCGCACGGGATTCTCTCGTGGCAGAGACCTAGGCGCCCAAACCTCAATGGCTCTAGACTTGGGGCAAGGCTGGTGATGCAATGGGGAGGCCGGCAGAGGAGTCTAGAACCTGTTCCCGCTGACTCGATACCTACCTACTACCTACTGTAGTGGGGCTGATATGGCCCGTGGGTTCCGCAACATTTGAAGCTTGGGGCAAAATCATTGTTTTTCAATATTGAAAACTGAACGTTGAAACTCGGTACACGTGTACAACTCCTCGGTAACCTTCATCGCAATCACGAGGGGCCCGAGACTATCAATACAAAACGGCCATGCCTTCAACCCGGCCTCGTCACTTCCCGACATGCCCATGCCCATGCCCACGCCCACCACCACCCACCAGCTCGTCGTACGCCTGCTGGATGGTGCGCAGGGTGCCGTGGACGGTCAGCTCGGGCGGCGCGCCGTCGTAGCAGTCGCCGTAGCCGCACCACTTGGTCATGAGCTTGTGGATGACGGTCTGCAGCAAGAGCGCGCTGCCGCCCTCCTCGATGGTGGCCACGTCGGGCCACTCGTTCTCGACGGTTTCCAGCCGCCCGGGTAGGTCGATGCGGAAGCCGGCCGGCATGTTGCTCATGGGCGGGTCGTCGGCCGCGCTTCTTCTGCCGTTGCTGCTGCCCCTCCTCCTCCTTCTCCTCCTCCTCCTTCCGCCGCCATCATGTCGTGCGCCACCCACCTCGCGCACAGCGGCGCTACCGTCAGGCCCCGACCCGTGTAGGCGGCGCACAGGAACAGCCCCGGCCCCCCGCCGTGCGACTCGGGCACGCGTCCGACCCAGGGGATGCGGTCGCGCGAGAAGCCCATGACACCCGTCCAGTCGAACGCCGTCACGTCCTCCTCGTCCTCGGCGTCCCCGAACTCGGCCTTGCCCTGCCCGCTGTTGGCGTCCACGACCCGCCGCAGCAGCGCCCGTAGGTGCGCCGCCACGTCGGCGTCGGCCGCGTCGTCGCGCCACTCGCCCACGCCCCGGCCCGGCGCCAGGTGGCGCGCCCCGTCCGAGATGAGCTCCCCCCCCCCGCCGGTGCCGGTTCCGGTGCCGATGCCGTCGCGTGGCCGCTGTATGATGTAGTTGTCGTGCGAGCCGTTGGCGGCTACAAAGTTGTACGCGCACCGCGCCAGGTCGATGCGGGGGCCACCACCGGCCGCAGCAGCAGCAGCAGCAGCAGCAGCGCCGCCGGGCTTGGGCACCAGCGCGCAGGCCTGGGCCCTGACGGGCGAGATGAGGTCCGCAAAGGCGGGCAGCAGCGCCGACGTGTAGCCGTTTGTGGCCAGGAGCACCTTGGCCGCGCGCATGTCGCCGCGGGGCGTCGTCAGCGTCCACCCGCCGCCGCCGCCGCCGCCGCCGCCCTGAGCCGCTGGGCCCCGAGCAGCTTGTTCAGGGCGGGGAACCGCTCGGCGAACTCGTCGATAATGGCCTCGCCGAAGGTGGTCAGGGGTTCGTCGTTGAAGTACAGGCACGTGCTGTCGACCCAGTCGCACTTGATGCCCGCCACGCGCACAATGTCCCGCACGAGCCGGTAGCTCTCGGCCTCGAACGCCGCCCCCTCCATTGTGGCGGCGAACAGCCTTGGCTCGATGAGCCCGGTAGTCTGTATGGCAAGAAGCAAAAGAAACGAGGTGAGGATTCGCGTCCAACCCCAGAGGGAGGGCGAGGTGAGAAAGATACGTATAAGCGTTTTGTAGCAGAAGGAAGGACTCCCCGTTATGACACCCTTCAGAAAGGATGTCACTTCACTCCCCCTGTTCCACTCATTCTCTCTCTCCCTCACTCCTTCTCTCACTCCTCTTTGCCTCGCCTACTTTTCACCCACCCGTCCCGAGGCGCCCTAACACGCCTCCCTAGCCTCGAGCATGACGACGCTCTGGCCCCTCGCGGCCCCGGCCTTGAGGAAATGCGCCGCGAAGGCGCCCGTGATGCCGCTGCCGACGACGACCACGTCGGCGCTGCCGGGCAGCTCGGCCGTGCTCCGGTGGCCCAGTAGCCGCTTCGAGGGCTCCTTTAGCCAGGGCGACAGCGTGGCGTTGGCGCACGGCAGGCCGGCGCGGGCGGCCGGCGGTTCGTCTTCGCCATCGTGGTTTCCGTTCGCTGCGGCCGCGTGTCGCGGTGTCGTTGCCGTCATGGCTGTCACTCACGTGGTGTATGAGATAGAGTGGTGAAGAGAGACACGGGAGCGGCGCTACGTTGCAACCTATAGGTAACGTAGATCTAGACACAACATGTGGCAAGTGGTCAAATCAGTCACTCTCGAGAATCAAAGGGGGCCTTTGACCCATTCAGACGGCCGATCGAACATGAGAGGCCCACGCGCAGGAGGCGTGGGCCCAACAGCTCGGTTTGTGTCAAATCATGCGTCTCCTCTTTTTCTGCCCGCCAAGGCCATGCGATAATACGAGTCCATATCTACAGATATCAGTGGCTACCAACCACCCCAACCGAGATCCCCATAAATCAGATGTAAAGCCCCCTGAGGTCGCTACTGACCTTATTTTAAGGACCGTGCCGTTGTCAGGAGTCATGCAACCTGGCATCGAAGTTCGAAGTAGGAAGGTCGGCAGGATCCAACAGCGCAAGGGCCTGCCATCGTCTACCCGGGATAACGCCGTGATGAGAAACAAGAGTTTTTTTCCCGCAAAATAAAAAACAAAGCACCAGTGGATCCTGAGTGGCGGGAATATGTGACCCCGACGTGATGCTGCCCCGATGCGTTGACGCAATGCATGAATGGCTCCCGCCAACCACGGCGCGGCAAGCAAGAAGCCAACCGCTTAGCCCTTGAGCATCTTCTTTCTCTTGCCAATCTGTGCCGAGAAACCAGTCTTGATTGCTGTGACCGAACGGCGAGAGCCACACGAGTTGCATGTGATGAAGTACCTATGTGCTTGTGTTAGTAGGGGGGTGTTAAGTCTCGTATGGGAAGCGGTCGGGAAACCCATGCCGGGCAGGCCACCTACAGTCGGTTTTCCCCCTTGTTGAGCTCTGTGTCGGGCGATCGGCACGTCTTGCAGGTAACATACTCGACTAACGGAGGGTTGTGGGGTCAGCAGTGAAGCGATAATTGCGTGGCTGGATGCGGGCGGGTCGAGAGGCCACAACTCACTGATGTATTTCCGCAGCACGTTCTCAAGCTGCTTCTGCTGGAAACGGCCCTTGATGACCAGGGCCTTGCCGCCCGTGGTCGAACCAGACGTTCCCAGCTCAGCAAACAGGTACTGCGTGACGTGCTCCTCGGTACGCTTCATGCGCTTGCAGATGTCTGCAAGGTTGGCGAAGATGGTCTTCTTGTTTCCTTCGCGCATACATTGCGGGGGCGGGATCTTGTAGCTGCGGGTTCCGCTCGTCGCGTGGTCCGGGTTCTTCTCCTCCAGAAGCTTGTAGAATCGCTTCAGCAGCAGCTCGTAAGGAATCGTCTGGGTCGCGTCGTGCTGCCAGATACCCGTGCCGGCGTCCATATCGCCGTCGTCGACGGCGGCGGGCTGCTCCTCAGCAGCGTCATCGCCGCCCTCCTTGTCCTCCAGGTTGACGGCCTTGAGCCTGGCAGCAAAGTCGTCCTCCCCATCCTTAGGGACCTTCTTCTTCTTTTTCTTCTTCAGAGTCAGGTCGAGGCCGCCATCGTCGGCCGCGGCGTCGTCCCCATCGGCATCCTCACCGCCCTCCTCGTCCTCCGTCTTCTTGGGCTTCTTCTTCTTCTTCTTCAGCGTGAGGTCCAGCCCATCATCCTCGGCAGCGGGGGGCGCGGCGGCATCGTCGGCGGGGGCTTGATTCGACGCATCAGTAAACGCACCAAGGGCGGCGGAAAGTGGCGGCGTACGAGCCGTGTGGGACTGCGCCGTGTCCTTGGTGTCGTCGTTTGGAGATGACATCTTGGTCACTTTGCCCTCTGCGTCGACAACCAGCTTCTCTTCTGTGAAGGCGACCGACTTGCGGGCCTTGCGCTCGGGGAGTTGGGTCTGCTCCGTGGCCAGCCTAGGTTAGCGGGTTGCTCGCTATTTTTGACTTTGCCTTCCCTTTTTTTTCTGCAGCTCTTCGACTCTCCACCAAGGTCGGGTAGACTTCCATCAAATGCCTGTGCGGGGCGTTTATCGGGCAGAAAGCAAGGTCTGTAGGGATAACAGGACGACCAAATAATAAAAGGTGCGATGCCCAGGGGCGCAACGGCAGAGATGGGTAGGCACAGACACAGGGACAGTCACGCACAACGGACGATTGACGAAGGTCAGATTGCTCACTGAGCAATCATTGAAATGTGGTGGGGTGCCAGTTGTGTGTGGCGGCGGGTGGTGGTGCTAGGGGAGGGGCTGCCCGCACGGATTGGGCGAATCTGGGTTGGCGGCTTCGAAGCACAGGGGGGGGCAGTCCCGGGCTAAAAACCACGGGCACGCTGGCCGGGGGGTATGACTGACCTCGTCCTGATCCATGTTGCAACAAGTTGTGCTGCACGCAGCTGTCCAGACGGAACGGTGTTGCAAACGAAGATGTACTCGATGAAAAGCGAGCTAAGCGGTGGAACCTGTTACGGCTCTTTTTTTTTCTCTCGAGTGCTGCGTGATAGGTGGATGCTCGTCCAGATGACGCGGTGGAGTGTTGGATACTGGTCAGGTTGGCTGGGCTGGGTAGGTGGGTGGTAGGTGGCAGCTGTGTGTAGATCTGGCAGTTGAGGCTGTGGTCGGGCTGGAATTCTTGCTGCTGCTGGCGGCTCGTCTGCTCCCCCTCTTTCTCGGCCCTCAAGCGGTCGTGTCGTCTGTTGGATGGGGCCCTTTAACCAAGTCGTTTCCAGGATCTCTAGCTTTGGATTTCCCACGAGTTAGTTCGCCTCCAGATGACTCAGATGGAATCTCGACGGAAACCCTTGCAGCTACTCACGCAACACGTCGTATCACATGATCTAGGCGGAGCCGTGGCCTCTCTCCCTCTCTCACTCGCCTGCTCGGCCCGATGTGGGCCCGGAAATAGTGGACCAGTCGGAGCTCTCTCCAGCCTGGGGGATCCCGTCTCCCATTGCCTGCCGCGCTGCTGTCTTGTCGCTGACGAGTTGAGCAGCATCCCACATCGCCTGCGCGGTTGAGCCTCAGACGCGGCGCCTGTCGACCCACCTCGCGCACTCCGATAATTCGAGGGCATTCAGGTCCAACCAAACCCACCATCCCACCACCACGTCGGCCGGAAATCGGAGCCCCCTCGACCCTGTCCCTCCCACCGCGCACACCCGATCAAGCTGCCCGCTATGTCAGCCTCGGATTCGTTTGTCCTGCATGACGACCTGCCGTCGTCAGACAACGACGACCTCGATTCGCTGCCGTCGATATCCACCGAGCTGCTCAGCTCCGAGGCAGACTCGGACGCTCAGAGGGAATGGGAAGCAAGTCTGGAGCAGCTGCAGCTGATGCTCACCATGGTCCTGATACCATTTGCGGGGAAATACTTTGGGCGCAAGTTTGCCTACTGGAGTGCGTAGCCAACTCAATGCCCACCGCAAACCCATCCGTCTCCTGGTGGCCACGACTTTTGCTGACTGGTTCCTCAGGCTGGGCTAGATACATGGAGTGGGCACACAACGTCGAGATAAGGTGGTCGAACAAGAAGGCCTTCGAGGCGGCTGGAGTCGCCGAGGCAGCATCGTCCTTATGAGCATGCTCTTAGTTCAAAACATGTCGGAAGAATACACCCGTCGGTTACCGCCTCGAGAGAGAACACTACCACCACTGTATATTTTGGATACCCCGTTTAGCTCGAGACACAAAGACTGTGGCATTCTGCCGGACGGTGGGCAGCGGTAGGACTGGACAGGCGGGCGGCCCCTTGTCTCGTTGAAGGCGTATGGTCACCATATTCCATACTGGACTCCAGTCGCGACCACCACTTGATCGTGGAAACAACGATGCGCCAAACGGGATGAAGGCTGCGCTCCGGATGCATGTTCCAGGACAGTATCGTTCCAGGGGTGGCGCAACAATCTGGGCGACCTCGGCTAGTTCGGTCAAGTTACTCTTTTACCTGGAGCAACTCTAGCTTTGAAAGACTCCTCTAGGCCGGGATGTTACTCTTTCCCTGAGAGCAACATCCGTTTTGGAAAAAGGCTCGCCTGTCCCCAACACCCACCTACATGGCCATACATGTTCGAAAACCCATTCGCAAAATTGCCTGTGCGCTTCCTCGCTGTGTACTCATAATATATGTCACTTGCACGGCGGGTTGATGATGGATTGCAGCGTTTCTCATCCCTAAGTGCGGACTCCCAAATACCCGTGGCAGGGATCAAGCGACGGCAGATGGGCTTCATGGCTCTTTTATGGCGCAATACCCTGTTCTTTGGCCAAGTTCAACACAGTAATGGATGTGTATCTAGATACGGGAAAACGACTAGAATGTTATCACATGTCGGCGATCTCATCACTTCTGCTTGAATTGAGACCGCAGAATCGCCCTCAGTGTCCATTGTCGGTTCCACAGACATTTGTCGCCTCGATGGTCAATCACTGAGGGAACCAAGCCAGCAACCCTCAGATGTGATACTAGCTAGGCACGGAAACTCGACACCAGACCATCCGCTAAACTAGAATATGACAAGCCTTCAGAAGCATACCACATGCTGACGATAATGCAAGACACTTACTCGGGATGCATAGCTATACCCAGCCTGATTGGTCGCCAGAAGGGTGTTTTCACGCGGCCTCGACCTTAATTGGATCACGTCAATGACGCTGGCGGCTTTTTGAGTGGTTGCTGTGGCGGGCGCTACGCTGTTGCCCCGCCAAAAACAAAAGAAGAATATGCGCTGCGAGGGGCGAAGCTACGTGGAAGAGGGGGACCAAAGCGGGTCGAGGAATAATCCCTGCCCTCGTCAGTGAAGCAATGCTCGACATTGTGCAGCTGAGGAGCCACGCCTTGCTGCATGCGCCGTCGACACCTGTGGGTTGATGCGAGCAGTGAAGAAACGGGGAAAGGGGCGAAAGTGAATCACAGGACTTGCATTCTTTTGACACAAAATTCGGGTTTGCGCAACGTCTAGGTCATGTGTCTGCGTGTCGACAAAGAAGGCGAGCCTCGAGCGCAACAGGACCAGAGCTTGGCGCGTCGATCGCAGCTAATATCGAGTGCCCGGCCAACGTACGTCATCGGCCCGCACCTGCAGACACCCTCCCCCCGCTCTTGGTGTGGTGCTGCTTCGGTTGCTCCTCCGCGTCCCGATGAACCAGGCAACGCAGCGCAGGAGGTGACCACACCTACCCTATAGCCGACTGTGAGCAAGTCTTAATTGTCATTCCCCTTTATTTTGGCTCACGCTATCAGTCGCAGAGCAACCAGCCTGCGTGTCCAAACCAAAACATTGCGCTTAGCCAGATTTCCGAGTGCTTTGTTTTCCTCCTTGAGTCGAGATATACCAACAAAAGAGGCTAACAAAGAAAGGGGTGAAGAAGTCAGTTACTAGTAGGAACTAGGCTACGAGCATCAGTCCACCCCAAGAACATCGCTTTCGTCAAGACCCATCCAAGCGTCGATCCCCATCACATCATCCTTGCCACCGTCCGGGTCCCTATACCTACGCCTCGACTTGGATCCAAGCTCCAGAGGTGAGTGCTATTGTTCTTCTAGACTCAAGGAGTGAGCCTCCATTCGTCGTCTTCTGTCCCCTTGCGAGTCGATGCCATTCACGGGCTGGTAATACCCAGCAACAAGCACACTAACACCGATCCATCTGGGTCCAGCCGTCATCGCCTCCTCCGCTCCTCAGACAAGGCCGACCGATCTACAGCGCCCCGAGCGAGCCGCCGCTGCACAACCACCCTCACGTCACAATGGAGGATGTCACCAGAACCGTGATGCGGCTCCTGCAGCTCCTGTGGGTTGTGCTGCTGACGGCCCTCATCGGCAACGTGATCGCGCTCAACGTCGGCGCGGCCGGGAGCGCGCAGGCGGCCGTCAACTTCGCCATGTTCGTCGCCGTGGTGGTGTGGATGGCGGCGCTCTACGGCCTCGTCACGCACTACATCTCGACGCTCTTCTCCCCCACCGTCGCTATGGTGCTCGACAGCGCCGCGACGCTCTTCACCTTTATCGGCGGCGTCGTGCTGGCCGCCAAGCTCAAGGTCACCAGCTGTGGCGGGGCCCTGGACCCCAAAGACCTGGGCGCCGACTGGATCGGGTTCGGCAGCGCCGACGACACCAAGCGCTGCCGCGAGATCCAGGCCTCGGCTGTCTTCCTCTGGTTCCTCTTCTTCTGCTTCTGCGTCTCGCTCTTCTTCACCTTCCGGACGTTCCGCCGAGCCGGCGGCGGCTCGGTCCTCTCCAGCGCCCCGACCATGTCGCAGCTTCGCGTATAGGAGGAAGGCGAGGTTTGATGTGGACGGGCGTGGCGGTGGGAAGGTGCACGAACACGAAGAAGATGAAAAAAAAGACCTTCCTCCCGCGGTTTTCTCTAATCTCCATATATACATAGTTGTTGCCGAGGCCCCACGGGGGATCGGCCGGTCGGCCGGGCGACGGTGGAGCACATTGTGTATCCACTCCCGGCCCGGCCGGCCTCCACACACCCGGTGTGTGCGACGTGCCACCCCGGAGCGGGGCGGTCCAACCGCCGATCTGCATCAGGCTTGGCTGGCATGGCGAGACTCGGCTACCCCCTCCCCACTTGCTCACCCACTGCCGTATTCTCGTTGGGATCTGGTCAGCGGGTTGGGCTGGGTGGAGGTTAGGATCATTGTCGCGGGTATTTCGTTCTTTTTCTTCATTACCCAGGGGCCGTCTTACTTGACGCGTGCCATTTTGCTTTAACGACGTGGCAACGACCACACCCAGCTGGCTGGCTGGCTGGCTGGCTTCCCGAACCTGAGCTGGCCTTTGCTACGGCTAGCGGCTGTACTTCTGGCACGCAGTGTTTCGTACGATACGCGGGACTGATGGAATTATTTCGGACTGGGACGTTATTATTTGGGTAAACATATATGGGTTTGGTCGGAGGATTCGCTTTTTCTGGGAGCCCCCCTTCGACTAGTGCCGACAGGCCTGGACGACCGAGGGATGCCATGTGGGACGACTTAGGTTATATGCGGCACGGAAGTTCAATGTGATTATAATATTTTCATGTTGTATTTTTAACATTCCCTGTCAATGGAATTCGGGTACTGCCGCGTGCGCGCCTCGGCAATAGATGAAGCATCCCGGACATGAGATGTGACGACGGTGATTATGACACAGCAGCTCGGTCCCGATGCGGAGCTGCTCCCTCGCCCCTAACTTCCCAGACGACGGCGGCGCCCTTGTCGCCGCCGTATGCCGGGGGGGACCTGGGAGCTGACTACGGGCGTGCGTTCCAGCCCGGAGCGGAAGCTCCGACCCTCGCGACGCAGAGACCTCGAGTTGGGCCTAGCCGCAACGCCAGCGGACATTGGCTACCAGAAGCGGGAAGCGTCGTTTCCGCAGGCGCGGTGGGGAGAAAAACACACATACAACACACACACGACACACACGCACAACGAGACTTTTGTCGTTTTCCGGAACCTGTTTCTTCAAAGTTTGAGGTCAAGCAGGCTCGGCTGGGAAGCAGACACCGAAATGTGGGGCCGGACGAGGTGGTCAAATCCCGACCGCCACTGGGTGCTTTCTGAGGGGCCGGTGATGATTTCCGCCGGGTTGTACCCAGCGCTAGCCTACCTGGCCGCCCGGCCTCACTCCCCTCCCTCCCTTGCTCACCAGCCCGTCGCCTCGCTGAGCTGCAGAGCAGGACGGATCCCTGGAGCCCCTGGTGAGACTTGGATGTCCCACACGGAAACAGAAAACTGGGGGATGGAGCTTCTCGCCCCCAAGTCTGGATGTACTGGTACCTTCTGCCACAGACACAACAACACACACACACAAACACACAACCCACACACCCCCTTTCCCTGTAGGACCCCTGGGATGCCAAGATTCCGGGGACCACGTGCAGGACGCGGCTGCAGCTCGTGGTCGTGAACGACACACGTCCACCGAGACGCGGCCGCGCAGCAGGGGGGTGTGGCCTGGACACCAAGAATAGCCCTGTTTGCTTGCCTGCCTGCCTGCCCGCCTGCCTGCCTGCCTGCCTGCCTGCCTGCCTGCCTGCCTGCCTGCCTGCCTAGGTGCCTGCCACCCCCTCCCTGGGCAAGCGTCCAGGGAAGACGAACCCCACATCTCTCAGGTCCCGCATCTTCACAAATCGCAACTCTGCCTGACACATCGAGCAGGCAGGTCTGGGAACCTGAGTCGGCTGATGCTCGGGCTTTTTTTGCCCACCCGAGACGCCAGAGCCAGCAACAGGCATACCCGACGTTTGGCCGTGGGGCTGGCTAGAGGAATTGTCAACAAAATTACCAGGAAAGGAAATAATAAGCTAGCGGGCCAATAGCGAAAAAAAATAAAGAAAAAAACCCCCAGGTCCCCAGGTCGGACGACGTGCCAAGGCTCACCAGAGTAGGTAAACTCGAGTGATACCAAGGATCAGGAACGGGAAACAAGGCAAACAGGACGAGGCAGGACCCCCAAATGACACCGGCACAGAGAGCTCTGCCAAGGCCGCGTCACCCACGCCGGTTTACCCAGTCGTCCCTTGATTTTTGTTTGCTTGTTGGCCTCCGTCCTCGAGTTCGCTTCGACCCTTTTAGGTTTCCCCCGGTGAGCATGTTGGGCGTAGGCTTTGCGCAGCTTGGTCGCATCTTACGGCTCAAGGGAAATAAAGCCCCCGCCGAGTTTACGTGGGAAGTATTCGGCTAACGCGCTCGCTTTGCTTTGCTCGCTCACCAGACCAACAAAGAAACTTTTTGCAACTCTGGAACTCTCAAGTCCTCGGATATAGATTCATCCTGGCCTCTTTACCGTCAGAGGCTATTTTTTCCCTCCTCGCGTTTTTATCTCCTTGACTCTTTCGCATCTCCCACCAATTGCCCCTCTGGGCAGGTCCAGGCTCGTTTGCACTGAGCGACAGGCCCACGCGCCCGGCGACGTGCCATTCCGGCGAGACGGCAAGTCAGGGAAGGGCCTAGACTTTTTGGGCAGAATCCCTCCCCCCCTCCCCGGAATTCGCACCAATGGCCCTTGACAAGTGACAGCATTGCTTCTAGAAAAAGGATCTAGGCCCCCGGGACTGAGCCTGCACGAAAGACGAGGGTCGCCCCGAGGACCTCCCGGCCGAGTGGACGGAAGGAAACAGAATTTAGAGTTTTGTCCTTCTGTTGCTTCTTCGGTTGCTTCTTCTCCTCCCTTGAAGCACTCATCCGGTCACTTCCCTGGCGCCCTGGAGACCCTGCGCCAGGCCCTGGGTCGCGTGTGCATCACGGGGCGTGTCAGGTGGTCAGGGTATGGCTGATACCCCTTCCCTTTCGCGTTCGTGATCACCACTCTGGATGGGGCGTGTGAGACGGGAAGCGGAAAGAGATAGGAAAGACGTGGCGGATGCGCTTTCCCATCTCTACCTCGCCCTCTCCACTCAACCTGATTTGCTGGAGGCGAAGGAGGGGTTGAGATAGTGAGGTTTAAAAAAAGAAGTTTTACATTACAGCTCACAACCTTGTCAAAAAAAAAGTCGTCCCATCCTTGGCCACCATCTCCCTGTCGTATCCCGAGCAGAGAACCCTTCTAGAATGGTGTGCGTTGTCTTGCGTTGCGGATGGCGATTCGGGGAACGACAAACGACATTGCCCTTGTAGGTAGGCAGCGGCGCGCATGGCTGGTGGCTGGTCCGAGGACGGTAATCTCTCTCGCTTGTTGCCTTTTTTTTTTTTACCTTGTTTTGCCGTCTTTCACTCTCTTGCCGCCTGCGGAACCCCGCTCTGCCGACGTCGGAGGCTGAGAAGCCGCAGGCGGGCGGGTTCCGGGTTATGGTTGGCTGATCTTGATACGAGTTGAGCGTGCGGCGCGGGCCATAGAGGAGGGGGGAAAAGAACCCAAGACTCTTCAGGACATGATCTGTTGACGGGTTCCGAGACTTCGGCGGAGGATACCGAGACTGATAGTAGCACAAAAGGCACAAAAGGCACAAAAGGTCAGATCTGCAACGTTTTATCATTTGTCACGCCACCTCCGCATTAGTCTCACGTTTTGCTGTGGCTCGGCCGGTGTTTGTGTGCGTGCGAGCCCTTTTGCGCCGAGATACTTTGGTTAGTCGTATAACCTGCCTAGTGGTAGATGCCTTGCCTACTGCCCACTCATCACCCGGGCCCTCTATTCCCATAGCTGCCTGATGTCGTTGGGAGGGGGAAGCCGTTTCCGCAACGCACACACATAGACGGTCCACTCACCGCCAGATCTATTGCGCCGCCCTCTCATAGTCTGGCCTTGCTGTCCTTGCTAGCCTTGCTAGCCCTTGCTAGCCCTTGATCCGCCGGCACTTGTTGCAACCCCTCCAGGCGACGGAGAATAACCGCCTTGACTGGCCCAAACTCAAAAACGTGCTTTCACACACACACACACACACACACACACACACACACACACACACACACGCGCGCGCGCGCGCGCCACTCCCCACTAACAAAATTCAAGGCGCGGGGCGTGTCTGTCCGTCCGACTGTGGGTTTGCCTACCACCTACCTAGGTAGGGCATCTGTTGGAGGGCAGGTGGGCTGGCAGGCCTTGGCCTGTTAGTCATAGATCTTGACTAGGCGCACACACACACACGCACACACGCACACACGCACACCCCCCAGGCTGCGCCAAAGGCTCTTTTCTTTTTTCTCTGTGGAAATGTGAGTGTGTGGCGCGTGTTGTGGCCTCACTGGCGTGCCGTGAGCGGTTGTGTTGTTGATCGGCTATCTCCATCTTCCCCCCCTGCCCGCCTGGCTCGTTGCAGATGAAATGAACCAGCCAATACCATCTCGAGATGAGATACAACCTGGCAGAGACACGCGCTGGTGCCAGCGCTGGGAAACCTTAAATCCACGACTCGCAGGGAACACTGCCACGCCCCATGCACACGCCCCTTTTATTGGGCTTCTCTCTTTTTTCCCCTCTTTTTCCCCATTCCCGCTCTGCTCGTGCGTTGTCGCTGGTTTTTTTTTTGTACCGTCATGGCCATCCATCCGGTGACATGCGGTCATGGTGATATATAAGCTTTCCTGCTAGCAATTTCGACATAGCCTTTCATCCTATTCTCTTTTGTTTTCCCCTTTTGGGAATAGCGCAGGATGTTCCGAATGGGACTAAACGAGGGATGACAGGTGCAGGATCCGAAAAGGCCAGGACAGCTAGGGGGGGAATGAGAGAAACAGAGTTTGGGAACAGATGAACCTATCGACGCTCGTCTTTACGGCTGAAAAGGCAAAAATGGTAACACTTCACTCAACCTAGCGCGCACGCGGGGGGGTGTGACGTTGGTCATCCGCCACTATCTTTCGGTGCTCCATTCTCTTACATCGGACTTTTCTCCATTATGGTCTTGTTGCTGTGTGTTTGTACCCAAGGGCTTTCGAAAAAAATAAATAAGGGTCGCCCCAGTTTTTTTGTTTTATTTTGTTCTTCTTTCTGCTGTGGGCGGTCCACCAGAAACGAACGTCGCCCTTCGACCTTTTTATCCTTCGCCACCCCCATCGACTTGTTTTTTTGGTGGGGAATGAGGCACGATGATGAAATGCTATGCGGCCCGAGGGACGGGGAGAGAGGATTGGGGAGGGGGGGGGGGGCCGCTATGGTCGGACTGCCCCTTGGCTGAGGATGGGCGCATTACCTCCCGCCCACCAGCGCTTGCTGCCACCTTTAAGATTACCAGCTTATGCGGTGTACGGCCCGGCCACCTGGGCGGCAGCTGGGGAAGGGGGACAGGGCGGCGACTGCTGCATCACAAAACCACCTGGTGGTGGGAGAGGGGGGCGAAATAAACGGAGGCGCCGGGGGGCGGGCTCGGGTTAGGCTCGGGGCTAGGCTAAGGCGCCGTAGTCTAACCCGCTAGGCCGGCGCCTCGAAGGCATTAGAGCAAAGCAGACTTTCAACGATCTTCGGCTTCCGGCCCAACGGCCGTACCCAACCGGCAGACTAAGGATATCATTGGTCTTTTCTTCTTATCTCGGGCGCTCTCGCTGTTCTAGCGAGGACGCCTGCCAGACTTCCAATGGCGGCTGGAGACGGCCGACTTGCTTCTTTCCATGTCGGCCGACCGCCTCCCCCTTTGTCAGGACTACCCCCCTAGCAGCGGCAATAGCCTCACGCGATCTGTCCACTAGAGTTTGGCGGGCTTGGGTCCCCAGGTAGCTAGCTAGAATCGCTAAACAGCGTCAGCTGACGACCCTTCTCCTCGGCGCCCCTCCTCTGCCCCTTGCAGTCGGCCAGAAGGTTCACGACCAAAGACTAATTATAATTAGTGAGTAACCCACTGGTCGTTGGCTCGCGCTCCATTCGTCCGACTAGGTGTTGGAACTTTGGGATAGTCGGTGAAGCTCAGGGGGACGGAACGCGACCTTGTCTTTAGCCTGCCGCATCTGGTAGGAAACAATCAATTGCCATGTCAATATTGTCCATTATTCGCGAGGCTGAACTTTGGCCAATATGGC